CTTTCACTTTCACCGTTATTTGTGTGACTGGTGCCATTCGAAGCGAAAGAAGCATCGCCACCCTCACCCGTAGCTCCATTCTCGGTAGGTTTGTTAGCAAGTTCAGCGGGCAACAACTCCAAATTCGACTTTGTAAAGATGATTCCATCATCCGGCCACCGGGGATTCGCATCCTTGAATAGCAGGACGTAACTCAACGCTCCCGGAGTCGCAGCAGAATCATGCAACGTCTTCTGCTTTGCCCCCGAGGTCCAACATTCTGGGTCCGGCCAGAAACGGCGCTCGATTTCTTTCGCGGAGCAGAGATCTCCGTCCGGGAGAGCGTCTGATCGTGCGGTGAGTTTTCGACTCGTACCTCTTCCACGTAGACCTGAGGGCACAGAGCCAGAGCCGCTCTCACTGTCGTTGCCGCTTCGAGGTTTCTGACCACCGTCACCACCAACTCTCGCGCGGAGGGCTGGCGGAATATATCGCCCAGCCATGAATGGATCTCGTAGTTTTATTCAGGAGAAGGGATATATGGTTCGTATTGGATCGGAGAACGAGAGGAATCGGAGTTTGATTCTAGGAGCAGAACAGTTCGGCCTTTACCGATCAACTCAGATCACTGACGTTGGAGGTGGAGAGAGGTGAAATCTTGCCCACCATTGATCTGGCGCGGGCACAATTGGGCTTCCACGAGATCGCAGCGCTCCAGGCACTGGTCGTTTGCTTTGACATTTTGCAAAGGCAGTGAATAAAGTCTGCCTGTGTGTGTGACGTGCACTGAGAATGGTGTCGATGGCCAGCCTTGCCTTGCCAAGCAATGACGCAGTGCATCCCACTGCATACCCTGCGGAGCGCAAGGCTGAGATATGAGACGTGTCGCTTTTGGTCCGGCAAAAAACTGTTTCACATGTATTACCTCGTACTCCGTAATGAGACAGGAAGCTGAATGAATGTCATTCTGGCCTGAGGCAGTTCATTTGTATCCTATGACGCCCAGCTGGCGGATCCTTACATAAACTCCCATCTTTGTCGCTCGCCATCAATTCCCATTAATTGCTCTTATCCCCACTGCGCTTACCAACACCCGCCAACATCGGTGCCATAACTGATGCTGATTTCGTAGCGTGTTCCTGGTCAGTTACATTCTAATCTAAACCTTCCGCCCCGAATCCAAATCGCTCCAGAAAAGAGATGCGGCAGGGCTGTGGTATCATAACTGCTGAAAGCTGATTGCGTGTAAAATGCGGGTCAAAAACCGATATTGACCGGTTGCCGCCCGTTCTTCCATTGTGTCTCGTTATACGCCGTTGCGGCCGTCCTTCCTCCGACCTCCTACACAACTCGGAATGCGGCCTGCTTTGCAAGCACATGCCAGAGAGACTGCCTTCGGTTTGCTCTTTTTCCGGAGATAGGATTGCTGTCTGACACGCCCGCTGTCACTTGCCACTCTACTGCACTTGGCTGACAATCTCGCTGGCTTTGCTCAAACTTTCCACCATTTGTTGACATTCCTTGCGTCGTCTGATAGTATAGTCGCTCTCCTTAAGGAGGTCGTCGAGTTCCTGCGTTCTGTACAGTTGTTCAAGCAATTCTCGTTGCATTTCATCTTTGGTGAACCTGAGTATTTTGTTAGCGGTGGGAATCGGCGTATGGATTCAGTGGCACTCACTGTACAAGACTAAGCATGATTGCTTTCGGTACCATGTCGATCATCGTCCTCCGAACAATGTTGAAGTAACTGTTGATCAACAGCTTGATGACTTCCACTTCCTGGTTCTCACGCTCGGACAGTGTTCCACTGGCTTTGAGCGTCGCTGGCGGCGGTTCCATGGCGGCCATCTTCTTCTTATTCTTACTGGCGAAGAATGATCCAAAGAACCCCGAGTTTTGGTCGGAGCCATCAGTAGGCAAACTGGGTGATGCGGCCCGAGGTGGCACCTGCGGCGGCAGTGGTTTACCAGTTTTGGGGTCGACTTGAGTCGGCTTGTTGGCATTATGTCTGTCGTTCACGATAGCCATCGCACGATGACCATTGAGAAAATCGGGATGGCCAGTATTGATGTAGCACGCTTCCATTGCCACTAGATCTTTGACCAGCTTGTTCGTCGGCTCCATTGACTTGCGGAAGAACGAAATGACGACGCCGTGGAATTTCTCTTTGAGCTGGGGGTATCTCCGGAACAGCTGTTTCTGCAGTAGCTGACTCAGAATGCGGACCAATTCATCGTAAACCAAAGAAACACATTTCAACGACGGTTCCTCGAGTCGTCGAATTTGTTGTTTCACAATGAGTTCGAAAGCAGTGGTTCCGACGAAGAGAGCAGGCGATGAGCCAGACGAGTTGTAGAGTATGGTTCGAATATCGATATCCTTGACCTGGTCGAATGGATCAACGGCCTTGATACCGTTCGAGTACAGCTCGTGGTAAACAAAGGAAATTCTGGCACCGCCCGAAAGTTCGTTGCTCGACAGTTCGGCGCTGTTTCCATCCAGGACAGTCCGGTATTCGTTGGCGAATTCGGTAATGATGTTGAGGATGATATTTGAGCTGTTGTTCCCGAGTAGGTCACCGGCACCCAGCTGCTCCAATTCTTGGCTATATTTCTGCAGAGAAGTCGCGATGCGGGTCTTGATATCTGGGAGTGTCTGCTTGATATGCATCATTAAGATGAGGTTGAGTTTTCGGGCCAGGTACGGAGTGCCGCAGTATGAAGCCTTGTTCCGGTAAGAGGGGTGGTTTTCGAAGAATTCCTTTTCTGCTTTCAAGGCCAAATCTATTCGCTTCTTGTTCTCAATATCGCGTTGGCCTCGGTTGACGACAGGGACGTAGCCAAGCCTGAGCGGGATGATACGGCCGGCAAGAATATCGACCACGTCGGTACCGGCGTCCATCAGATCGATCTTGGTCAGGACACCAATTGTTCTTTGGCCTTCCGGGTCGACTTCCCGAGCCAGTTTCAGGCCGTCTGAATTGGCCAAATCGACGTTCGCAGCTGTAACTGCTAGAATGATTGCATTGGGTTTTTGTATTTGCTTTAGGACCATCTCTTTAATCTGCTTCTCGATATCTCGCGGCTGATCTCCCACAGGGACTTTTGTCAAGCCGGGCAAGTCCACCAATGTGAGAGTGAGCACATTAGGGGAATATATCCGCAGGTTTATGGGTTGTGGTGAAATGCCGACATTTCTGCCCGCCTTTGCTTCTGTCTCCTTGACGATTTCATCCCGGATCTTATTGAAATCGTGAAATTTCTGGCCCGGAAGATGAAGGAATTCTCCCCACTCATCCACGTTGGCTTGACTGTCGGTGGACTTCTTCATCTCCTCCTCGGTGACGCCATTTGTCTGGAGTTTGGCCGGAGCTGGTCTGTTGATCAATTGTAGGACGAGGGGTCGGCGAGTCACGATTCCGGAGCCTCGAGGCAGACTGGAACACGGGTCAGCGGGTTGATTGGGAGCCGGGATAGGATGTAGGCAGGATTGCGCTTACAAGTCTCTTCCCACTATGTTCTCAAGGACTGAGCTCTTGCCGCTGGATTGCGAACCCACTACGACAATTTGAGGTAAATCAATAGGATTTTGGACCTGGCAGAGAGACGGTCAGCTTGGGGGGAACAGGACAGCTGGCGACTGCGGGATTGCATTGGCTGATGACGTACCCCGACGGTTGTGAAGACATCTTGGAGTTTGTTGACAAGGGAAATGAGGGTGGGATCGTTTACGTTGATCCTGCAGAAATCGTCAGAGGAGACACGGGCTCATCGAGTTGTTGACACTTTGCGGCGGGAAACTTACGAGTAGCCCCCCGGTGCTGCCGCCATGGTCGGGGCAAAGGTCAGCGGAAGAGGATCTTGAAGTAAATCGGAGCGGGTGGATTCGATGCTGGTTCGGGCGGAGGACTGTAGAGCGAGGTCGAGGGATTTGCGAGGAGGGTGCGGTTGAGGGTGCGGTTGAGGGTGGTGAGTGGAACGGGGAGTGATATTATCGAAGTTGTGAATGTTGGCCAAATCTTGGGACGAAAGCGTCAGTGGTGATGCAGTTGCGGTGGCTACGCCTGCAACTTTGGGCGCCGGAGTCGCTGTGGGCGGCGTGGGCGCGATGGCCGCTGGTGCTGGTGCTGGGCTGCCAGGGCTTCCAGGGCTTGCGGCTGCCCGACCACTCGGTTCTTGGCGCCCAAATAGAAACGGAAGGTTGCGCGTTGCCGGCGACATTCAGCAGGCACCATTCATTTCGCATGACGCGACAGCTTTCTTAACGGCACTGTTACTTGTAGACGTCGTGGTGGTGGCAACCTGCCCAGGCACCATTCAATCTCTATGGCGGATGGCGCCAACACGAATCAAAAATCCCCCCACGCAAGAACTTTCTCGAAGAGGGCCATGAATTGCGTTCGTTCTCGTCGTTGTGTCTTCTGGAGAGGATTGAAATCACGATCTGAGATGACAACAGAAAAGCCAGGTGATGGCCTGATGCCTTGTGACTGACCTAGCCCACCCACTCACCTCTCAGCACTCTCTTTTCAATACCCAAATTTTCTCCCTGGTTGGAACTAAACAACAAACCGCCGGGGCAAACCGATGGGTCTTTTCAATCATAGTATTGAGCAAAGTATTTAGGTGTTAGGTACTGGTAAAGATAGCTCAAGGTAGCTAAATCTAGGTAGACTTGCGATCAGACATGCCAGTAGTCGCTGATTCTCAACATGCTCTTTCACTCCCGCCCACACATCCAAGCTTCATTCTCAGTTGGATGCTTCGATGCTGCCGGCAATGAATCCCCCTTCCAGAAAACCCTCCTGGCCTGATGCGAGTGCCTGTTAGGCACTGATTTGCCCTTGTTTCGGTTCAAACACAAACCACACTGTCAAGACACCTCCAAATGCAATGCTGTATCCAAACTCTCTATATCTGTGCAATTCGTCCCTCGTTACCGTAAACATAGATCCGCGTGGTTGCTTGTCAAATGCCACCAACTCCGGTCAAAGACTTGATATCTTGCTCCCCGTTGTTGTCCTATAGCGTCGATCTCAAGGCGCTGATACGCGCTGACTCTTCTCGGATGAAAAACTGCTTCAGATTGGTGCGAAAGCCGGGAAGGCCCTCCTCAACTGGTGGCTGCAAGTTCGTCCATCTGCATGCCATTAGCAACGTCAGACCATTCCAAGGCCATGTACAAACTCACATTCGCACTTTACGGTCATCACCCCCAGACGCAAACATACGGGCGTTTCTGGGGTTCCAGTCCACAGTCGTCACACACTCCTTACCACTTTGACCCCGACCATGCCCGGACAGCTTCTCGATCAGCGATTCGTTCTCCTTGTGCCACACGTAGATCAAACCATCTAGTCGCTCAATTAGTATATCTTGGGACACGGCCAACAGGAATACTCACCTTCCGAGCCGCTGACCACAAAATTCTCCGCGGCTCCCCCGAAGCAGCTTCGGATCACAAACTCGCCTTGTTTTTGCCCGCGGAACTTGCGAATGGTGTCTCTCGTGACCAAGTCAATCATATGAACCTCACCGATCGCCAAGTTGACCAGCACTGTGCTGCCATCCCGGCTTAAAGTAATGCTCGTCATCTTGCCCGTGACTTTAATGGGCGGCTCTTCCCGATACGAGTGCATGTGGAACACGCGGATGATGTTCTGAGGGTCGAGAGCAACGAGCCAGTTCCCATCCTCGGTGATGGCGACATCTTGTACACGGAACCCCCTAGGCCAAACGTGCTCAGGTTTCTCGCGCTTCGGACTTCGGAGGTTCCAGTAACACAGCTGCGAGTTGCGGTCGTGACTTGCAGTCACGAAGCCCTGAGAGTCGGGAGTCCAAGCAGCGGCAGTGATGCCGTAGTTTTGATCCACGCTTTGGTGCTCAAGGGTCACCTCTAGCCTCCCAGTCTCGACATCGTAGACGCGTGCCTTGCAATCTTGCGAACAGGTGACAATTTTGGTGTCATCGGGGCTCCAAGACACATACGTAACCTCGGCCGAGTGATGAGTGAGGGTATGGAGACGCTTGAAGGTCTCTGTTTCGTAGATGTTGACAGTCTGGTCCTGACTTGCCGTAGCCAATTTGCTGCCATCATGAGAGAACTGCACGTGCCAGACTTCACCAGTATGATCCTCCAGCTGTAGAAACGTCCGTGACGGGAAATCATCGCGGTCACAGATATGGTCTGAGTACAGCGACGGAGGTTCTGCTGTGTTGTGATAGAGACACTGGTTGATCTGGCTCTGCTTTATGTGGTCAAACAATTCCGCTAACCTGTGGTCTCGAATCATGACGGAGGGAGCGATTGACCGAGACAGGTCTTGCAGCAGCATCTTTCTGGACTCTTCCACCGTGCCTGACCAGTGTGCTTTGTCTCTGAGATCCTCGGGCGGACACATGAGCAGGGTTGAGAGAGCATGTAATTGGTGGATGTCGTGTTCCAGGGGCGTCAGTTCTTGTCTCAGGACCATGAGGGCCATGCCTAGGTCTCGTCGATCGAGTAACTCCAGAAATTTCTGCTGCCGAATCAAGAACAACATTTGCCCTCTATCAGCATCTTCGGCAAGTACGAGCCCCTCCCCATATTGGTCGTCCTCTGGAAGCGAACTTGCACGGTCATCCTGACGTGACCCTAGCAATATTGCTTCTGCCTCGGACCATACACCTTCCAAGATGGCACTTCGAAAGGCAGCGACCGAAGGGCTTTCCAGCTCGTAGCCACTCTCGCTTGATAAGACATTGGCGGCGTCGGAATATCCCATATCTAACAGGCCCTGGATGAGAATTCTGACCACCTCTTCTCTGTTATGTCCTCTGTATGTGGCTGACCGGCCAGGAGCCAGTTTTTTGGAGGTGCCATTCGTGTACGAGGGGCTGGATCCATTCACGTGTCCGTTCAAACTAGAGTGAAGGGGCTTCCTTGGAGTGGAACCATTGGAACTTGCAGGATGACCGTTGGAAAATACTTGTTCCGAGTCTTCATCGACTCTCATATTGGATCTGTCGGTTCGCCTGCGCTTCGGCCTATGTTCGCCTCCGGATCGAGGCTCTTGAAATGCGTCTTCCGATGCCTGACTCGGTCCCCCTGGGTTGTTGTCGGGTTCAGCGGTTCTTTCAAATGACGATCGCCTTCTCCTGCGTCTCCCCAGCTCTTGAGAAGCCTGTACCTGCTCTATAGGTGGCTGGCTTGTCGAGATATTTTCTGGGATGGTCAAAAGTGGGACTGCAGTTGAATGGGAGGCGTCTTCAATTGTAGATAGATTTGGGGGTGGGGAATTAGAATCTGTGTAGGTAGAGTGTCCAGGGTGAGTCGAGGTGGATGGGTCGTCGGCAGTGATTAGGTTGTAGTTCGTGAAAGGGTGGTGTGCCAGCTCGTGGTGGCGGCAAAGCCGCCAGTATCACTGCGAGGGCTCCTTTTGCGAGGGAATAGAGCCACGCAGCTGTATCCAAATGCCCTTCCGTGCAAGTATAGTTGCTGAGTAGCGCTGTGAGCGAGTCGAAGAGAAGAAAAGCCAAATCATTCAATGGCACAGCCAAAGACCCTCGCAGAGGAGCAGAAAAGTCAGGACACTGGCGGTTGATATCGGGGGGCAGTTGGCCCAGGACGTCAAGTTAGAGGGGGAAACGGGAGGCTGACGAGGTTGCTCGGCCGAATCAGAGCACGGGTTCCCGGCCAGAAATTCGCAGGTTGATGAAGATGGGAAGGTTCGTGGAGGGAGATGAAGACTAGGAATTGTCGTGACGGATTGTAGAGGAGTAAGTGGTGAGTGGGCAATGCTCGCGGTCCCAAGTCAAGAGGGAGTAGATGACGAGATGGGGACGGCTTGATGTCGGAGCCAGTAGTGTGCCCCAGCCCGCAGCAGCATTAGCAGCCGTAGCAGCAGCGTATCTCCAACTAAACTACAACCGGCACCCACCGACCCTCGAGGCTAATATAAGTAATCGACCCTTCTTTGCGGGCAGGACATGCCCATTGTCCAGTGTTTCTACGAGTACGAACGAAGCAAACCCACTGCGCCTAGAACAGCCGTGAGCCACCTGATCTGCTTTCCCGCCCGTCACTTGTTTGTGCAAACCGACACTGGTGACCAACCACTTTGGCACCAACTCCAAGCAGCTGCTAGGCCGGTTTCAGACCATCCCACATCCACTTCTTGCTGTAAAGTTGGAGCCTGACAGCTTTGTGCACCAAGATAAGCCGTTTCGTTGATACCTGGCAATGTACTGGGTACTGTAGCTTGTCGCTCATCTTTAAGAACCAGCGTTCCTCTGTCCTGCACGTACAACTTGGGCCTTCTTGCCTCTTGACTCCGGCGACCCAATGGTCCTTGTCGATGCTTGATATTTCGCCATGTGGCAACTCTGTCAGGTTGAGGTGTCGCCAGTGATTGACGGGGAGGGCTCAAGGCTGACAGATGGTTGCTATGTGTGGGGTTGGTTCATTGGCGGAAGCTGGGACCTGGCAGCTGCAGGGGAGGCAAGGGATCAGAAGGGATCAGGTATCAAGGGCGTAGGTGGTATTCAATCACAGACATGTTCGGCAAGTTGGGAGGGCAGTAGATTGTATTAGACCGATCCAGGTCTCAGGTAAATAGACATGTCTCCTCTCAACTCAACCGAAAGAGCATCTTGACTGCGTTCCCAGTCTCGGCGGAACATTGAAGCGTAACTCACTGATCACCAGGCGCGCCTGCAACTTAATCGCAGCCGCCTGCCCACGCCCCCCCCCAAAATTCAAAAGCGCACCTAGACAGCTTCCTGCAAAAGATGATTTCATATGCTTGGATTTGGTCGTCCTCGCCTCAGACATAGAAAGTCGGTGATTGAATTTATAACTGGCAAGAGCATCGACGACCTTGCTATCGTCTCAGACCTCAAATATCTCCACCTCCAGCTTGGCCTCCCCAGTCTTATCGAAGACGAGCTTGACGAGGGAGAGCTTGCGGGTCCCAGCTCTGACAACAGCTCTTCCGTCTTTGCCTTTCCACAACCACTCCAGACCCTGCACACAACTGCTCGCACATACAGAAGGATGCCTGCTTCAAAAGAGAGTGGTATCGGCAGCGACCACCAGAATGGATCTGTCTTTTCCGTCTCTGGTCCGGTCATTGTCGCCGAGAACATGATCGGTGTCGCCATGTACGAGCTCTGCAAAGTCGGCCACGATGAACTGGTGGGTGAAGTGATTCGCATAGAGGCCGACAAGGCCACGATTCAAGTTTACGAGGAGACTGGTATGTGAAGTACACCTCCTGCCAATCCCAGTACCTTCAATTGACTGTGGTTTAGCTGGTGTCACTGTCGGAGATCCTGTCCTGCGGACTGGCAAACCGTTATCTGTCGAACTGGGCCCTGGTCTCATGGAAACAATCTACGACGGAATCCAAAGACCGTTGAAGACCATCGCTGGCAACACAAACAGCATCTACATCCCCCGCGGTATTGCCGTTCCTTCCTTGGACAGAAAGAAAAAATGGCCCTTCACGCCAACCATGAAGGAGGGAGACCACATCAGTGGCGGCGACGTTTGGGGCAAGGTGGTCGAGAACAGCCTGGTCAATGAACACAGAATCCTGTTACCTCCAAGAGCCAGAGGCACGATCAAAAAGATTGCTCCCAAGGGCGATTATACTGTCGATGAGCCTCTGCTTACATTGGAATTCAACGGCGAGACAAAGGAGTACCCGATGATGCACACGTGGCCCGTCCGTGTTCCCCGACCTGTCAATGAGCGTCTACAAGCCGACTCGCCCTTCATCGTCGGACAACGAGTCCTCGACGCCCTGTTCCCTTCAGTCCAGGGAGGCACGGTGTGCATTCCTGGTGCTTTTGGCTGCGGCAAAACTGTCATTTCTCAGTCTGTCTCCAAATTCTCAAACAGCGACATTATAGTCTATGTCGGGTAAGTCGCCCTCGTTCAACTGATGGACGCGTCTACTGACAAAGATTTTAGATGTGGTAGCGTTGCCCTTTTTTCCCACTCTTCTTTCCACCATTCGAGTCTTATAACTAACAAGGAGTGCCATGTATACAGGAGAACGAGGGAACGAAATGGCTGAAGTCCTAATGGATTTCCCGGAACTCTCTATCACCATCGAGGGTCGGAAAGAGCCCATTATGAAGCGGACCTGCTTGATCGCCAACACTTCCAACATGCCCGTGGCAGCACGGGAAGCATCCATCTACACTGGCATCACTGTGGCCGAGTACTTCCGAGACCAAGGCAAGGCCGTGGCCATGATGGCCGACTCATCCTCCCGATGGGCTGAAGCTTTGCGAGAAATTTCTGGTCGTCTTGGAGAAATGCCTGCGGATCAAGGTTTCCCGGCCTACCTGTCTGCCAAACTAGCCTCGTTCTATGAACGTGCAGGTGCAGCCATCGCTTTGGGCTCTCCGGAACGCAACGGCAGTATCTCTATTGTCGGTGCCGTCTCACCCCCAGGAGGCGATTTCTCCGATCCGGTCACCTCTGCCACCCTAGGTATCGTCCAAGTCTTTTGGGGCCTTGACAAGAAGCTCGCGCAGAGAAAACACTTTCCCAGCGTCAACACCTCCCTCTCATACAGCAAATACACCAACATCCTCGACAGGTTCTACGCGAAAGATCACCCTGAGTTTCCCCGTTTGCGGGACCGTATCAAAGAACTCCTCACAAATTCCGAAGATCTCGATCAAGTGGTCCAACTCGTAGGTAAATCGGCCTTGGGCGATTCCGACAAAATTATTCTCGATGTCGCAGCCATGCTCAAAGATGACTTCCTTCAACAAAACGGTTACAGTGACTACGATCAATTCTGCCCACTTTGGAAGACGGAATACATGATGAAAGCGTTCATGCAATTCCATGACGAGGCGCAGAAGGCCGTGAGCAGTGGGTTGAGTTGGGCGAAAGTGAGGGAGACAACGTCGGAGATCCAGCATGGACTGAGGAGTATGAAGTTCGAGCTGCCTGATGACCAAGAGGAGGTAAGTGCGAAGTATGACCGGCTGTTGCAGCAGATGAGTGAGAAATTTGCGAGTGTGAGCGATGAATGAGAACACAGCATTGAATTTGGCGAGAGGTATACTTGTAGGGGATTCTGTTAGTAGGGACATCGATGCATAGGTTATTGGGCGAAGGCGGTGTGAAAAGGTCACTGTCGACGCCCTAGAAGCTCAAGGACAAGTTAAGAGAATAGCGCTGTTGAACTTGGGCTTCGTCAAGGTGTATAGTCCAAGGCGAGGCGGCAACTCTATATCTTCGTCCAGATAGCTGCTTCAGCAAAGAAAGCAAACTGTGCTCTACGCAAATTAAGTATTAGTCGGCGATTGCTATCTTCGTCGTTGTCTCGCGCGGAATAATATCTCTGCATTGCGTACGGGGCCTGATGTGGAAATAGAGACGCAAAGCTCATCGCCCCCACTCGTCGCAGCACTAGCCTCGTGAGGCTACACCTTTCCGCTTTGGGGATCCCGCTGCAAACTTAACGTCACCATTATGTATCACGGTTCTTGCACGGTCACAATACGAGATAAGCCTTCACCAGTTGACCATCTTTCTGCGCTCTAGCCGCAACCCCTTTTCTCTATGTTCCTGGCGCTCAATTCCGCCATTCCTGTGTAGTCTGGGGTGCCTCTAAAATATTGGCAGAGGCTCCCTTCCTCAACATCTAGATCTCAGTAACTTCAGCTGATCTTGCACATCCCTTAATCGCCATCGGCCATATCCTAGGCTGAAAATTCCAGCATCTTGCATTGCCCCAGGATGCCGGCTGAATTACCAGGCTATTATTTCGATGTCGCGAAGAACCGCTACTTCAAAATTCAGCCAAATCATATTGCGCCGTCGGGGTCCAAGTACAGCCGTCAAGCGGTCAGGACAGAGAAGGTAATCAAGAAAGCCCAGCGGCGGGATGAATTGCAACATCAGTCGAAACTTGCCTCCACGGTGACGCGGTCGAGGCTATTGCAACATCCTCTCCTGACCTTCGATAGACGACTGGGTCATTTACGAAAGAGTGCCGGGTCGCTCGTAGCAGAATACTATGCGGCCGGTCTCGAGAGGAAAGTCGTTGTCAGGAATCCTATAACCGTGGGAGGCTGTACGCTCACGACAACGCCCCAGTATAGACGGTCTCTGAGGTCTGGATCATTTTGCATCGAGGAACCTTCGGGCATCCTCTTTGGAGATTGCAGGTCGTGGCGGATGGATGGCCGGCAGGATTGCACAGATATTCACGCCTTCTATCCGAGGTCACCTTATGAGATGGGGGAGCTATTAGATGGTCGAGACTCTCTGGACTGGCCAACCCCCCTAAGCCACGATACGACAATTCTCTACAGCCACAAGAAGGTCGAGAGCATTGGTAGGGCAAATGGAATCCGAGATATTCTTTCCATCGGATCCGGCCTGGTTGTTTGGTCCGAGGATGGCTTTAATCCCCAGCATCCCGAGGTGACAATGGTCAAGGTAGGAGCTTGTTCTGTCGGGCCATTTGCGCACCGACATGGCCTGGTCCACCAGACGTCGTTTGCAGAAGACATACGGGATCTTGCGGTACAGCCGGGCGATTACACGGTGGCACTAGCAAGCGAGCGAGGGCTCTACCTCATGGATCTTTTCCACGCGAGTTACCCGCTCACAAAATACCCGCTGGGCACAAACGAACTGGTGAAAGCTACCTTCAAAGACCGAAATATCGTCATGGGCGGTACTCGTTCAGGCAAGATGCTGCTATGCGACATCCGAGCAGCGCCGCCGTCGGCTAAGGGTGGCCGAACAACCGCGACGCGGCTCCAACACACGGACCTCATCACCGGCCTCGCGGCCCTCCCCAACGGCAACCAGATCCTCATCAGCGGCCTGAAAAGCATGAAGATCTACGACCTGCGCTTCGCGCCGCAGCCGAGCCTCATGTGCCACCTGCCCAGGTCGAACTCGTTCAAAGCCAGTCCCGCGGTGCTGGACTTCAACATCCCCTTAGCGCCCCAGTACCGGCATTCCTGGAAGGGCTTCGCGTACGATCCGGAACTGAACATCGTCCTCAGAGTGTCGTCGGACAGCGGCGGCGAGCACAACTGCGCGGCCCTGTGGTCGGCGAGCACAGGCAGGCTTCTCCAAAGTCCGCTCAGCCGGGAGCGTTTCCACTTCCCCATCGATGACACCGCCATTGCCCGCGTCAGGGACGGGCCCAAGAGTATCTTCATCTCGACCGGCAACATGATCAGCGAGTGGACGCTGCAGGGAAGAGGGTCGGAAGGCGACCAGGAATGAAATTAATTTCTGTTTTTCCCAGCTTTCTGAAGACGTGGACGGGACTGCTATGGGTAAAGTGCAAGATGGCGGTATGTGGAGAAATGCCTTGCTGCTACATATCCATATGAGTTTGAGCAGGGAACGACACATGGGAAATGGTTTTTTTGGCTCACATGCTCATTGGGATTTTCTCTGGATGGGTTGCATCTGTGGCACGCTGGCAGCGCAAAGTCGCTTACAAGTCTGGGTCTATCTCGTACTCACTGACTCCCATCCCCCATATGTGCCCCATACTCACAACCCATTCTCTGCCTACATTGACTCGCCATCTCTCGTCTCCTGCATCGTCGCTGGTCCCGGTCGATGCGCCAGATCCAGAGGCCCGTGCAACGAGCCTCAGTCTCTCCAGCTCCCCAAGCTCACGGTATATCCGATCACTCACCCCGCGACCTGGGCGACTGGGGATGCCGTGCGGATGAACCGCCCGAACGATTGCGACAAGCCGCTCGAGAGTGAATGGTCGTGGTGAGCCTAGATTAGCCCCTGCAGCGAACAAAGACTTGGAGCGCGATTTGGTTGGGGTGGCGGCGTCCTTTGTCGGAGTCCCACTAGGGGTAGATGTCGATTTCGTCTTCGTCGGTGTTTGCCTCAGCCTGCGGATTTTCTTACTGGTCGAGCTGGAGGAAGCGCTGAGGCGGGAGAAGAGCAGGATGTCATGTTTCGGCTGTGTGTGGCTTGCAAGATAAGCCGATAGCAGGATAAGCGTGGGAAAATGCTTCAGCAGTGGCGGCCGGGCCAGAGATGATTCTGACGGCGCTGTTGTTGCTGGCGCACTTAATATTCCATTGCCGGTTGGTGAAGGCCCGATTTTGAACAAATCTTGACGAAGTGATGAGCCAGATTCAGGGCTGTGCGGCAGTGCTTTTCTTGGGAACGTGTTATGCAAAGCGTCCTCGCCTTCTGATCGAAACAGACCACGATTTTGCACCAGTAACTTTGCAAAGTCCCACGATTTCGCTCTCCCAGGTGGTTCTTGACCAGACACCATTGGCTCGATGAACCGCGGCCACAACTTCTCACAAGCCAGACGAAAGGTTTCTATGGATGTAGAGGATGTTGACGATATTAAGGTGTCGTAGACTGTAATCGCGAATTGAGCATACAGCTTCGACAGCGCGGTCTCGTCCATCTCAATAGGCGCGTCAGGAAGCGCGTCAGGGAGCGGAGGCGTCGCTCGAGAGACGATGATCGAGATTGCTTCAGAGCGTGTATAGGGCGGGAAGTGAACGTACGGCACACCGGCCTTGTGCAGGTTGAGAGGTCGTGGGGAGCTCGAGGTCAATATGACTGAGAATCCAGGAACCTTTGTTGCTCATGTTAGCAGGTGTGCTCACTCAATCCGGCTTGTTTGTGGTGTATCTACCAGATCTCCTAGCCGTGCAAGCGCAGGGAGCAGTGTTGGTCCAGATTGTCTCAAGGCATCTGCATCCTCAATTACGGCCACGAATTTCTTCTGGCCCACCACTCGTTCAAAGAGCTTGCGCAGATTCCCCAGGAGCGCGTTGATGCTGTCCGTCCGGTCGAAATGGTCTGTTTGGCTCTCTTGACCAAAGGCGCTGATACAGGCCGCAAAGATCTTGGACAGCAAATGTCTTTGTGAGAGACACTCCCTGCTCTTGATGATTCCATGTTGGATTTCTCTTGATCTCAGCACTTCGACAATGACCGTCGTCTTGCTTGTGGTCTCAAGGCCGCAGGCAACGAGGACCGGAGGACTGGGGAAGATATCCTGTGTGGTTTTCCGGTCAGGAGTTAGCCGCACGATAGATGTACCTTTTTAGGCAAGTTCAGCTCACATTGTAATATGTCGCAAGCTCTTGGATCTGCGATCGCCGGCAAGGACATTTGCGCAGGATCAAATGAAGCAGTTCAGGCGGTAATAAAGTCACCATCTCGGTCGTTCAGTGCGGCATGTAGTTAGTCGAGTCTATGCACTCGGTATCATGTTCGATTCATACCTGGATGGACGCGTCGTGATTCTGGACGCGTTTCCCCGCATTTCAGAGAGGCACCGCAATGTTTATTAACGAGAGCGCTGGCAGTCTTGCTTCGGTTAGTTTTGTTCATCTAATGAGGCCGGGTATCTACCACCAATACGTTGCAGTGCATAGCATCAATAGGAGGAGGATGCTGAAGTGCCGTTGTGCAACCCGCTTCTACCAGCGCCCCTGGCTTGAAGACGATAAGGATCACCCAAGAATTTGGTCTAAGATACAATTTCTTCTAGCTATCGAGTCTAGTCTCTGGCTGATGGTACAGGCTCTCAACGTCTCTTGGGGGAGACATAGCCAAAACTGAGACCTTTGGTATGTTAAGTACATGACCATTCCTCCACGGCACAACAGTCAGGCATCCATTGCTGTTCAAAGTGAGCAATACCATCTCTGTTCAGAAAGGAACATTTCGCGCCATTTCCAAGTCAATGCTCGTGAGTACAAGATGGCTGTGCCGGTACCATGATTGGATGAAAACATGTTTTTTTTTAATGGGATTTTCTCATCAAGTTTTTCCAGAAATAAAAAAAAAACACACAGATAAAAAGAAAACTCTCCCAGCCCATTCGATTCGGAAACCTGTGGGACGGAAGAAAAGTGGTTAACCAAACCATCATTCATGCAAGAGCTCTAGGTTCTTTCCAAAACTCGGCATGAGTCTTTGATCTCCTGCCAGACTGATGCTGGACCAATGAATAGCCTTTTTAAGCATAATACAGGGCGAGGGCCGTTGAGTGTCTGTCGTAAAGAATTCGAACGCTTTTTTTGGTTGTGTGGATTGGTACAGTCGTAAGAAAGCACGCATAAAGACGAGGCGACACAGGCCACAGATCTATTATGCGTTGCAGAAAGGAATCTTCAAATTTTCATCATTTCGTGACTCGTAAGCGCGTCGAGAGCCTCTGTGCCGGAGCCAAATCATCAAATGACATTGTTAGAGCCGCCAACTGAACCATTCATGAAGTTGGCGTAGCCGGTGGCGCCGAGATCGTTGTTGTAATTGTGCGCGTTGTACATGTTGACAGTTGAATCCATCAAGCCATAGGTGTTTCCATTGGGAGTGACATTGTTCGGGATATCTGCAGAGCCATACGCGTCCGAAGTGCGAATGCCGTTGAATCCACCACCGACGATCTGAACATTGCGACGGCTATTTGCACGGCCACCGTTGAAACTCGCGAGGATATTCTCGTTAGAAGGAGCATTGCCACGACCTGGAACGTCGTTGCCAAGAATCTTGCTGGCAATCCGTCGGCCATGAGGAGTTTGCTTGATGAGGGGAAGAATGGGGCGGATGGCGTCGACAAGACGCATCTTGGTGGGAGGATCCGCGTATTCCATGGCAGTCTGGACCACGTAGTTGGCGAAGGAATCGCGGAGCATCTTCTCGAGCTCGTTCCCCATGAGCATCTCCTCGATCATGGCTCGCTTAGTGTCGGTGTCGGCAGTACGCAAGCATTTCTCAATGACGTTTGAACTGAATTTCTGCTTTGACAAGGCTGGGACTCGGCCGTAGAAGTTTTCGCAGAGTGGCTTGGTGAAGGCGGCTTCATCAAGGTCGAGAATATACTGAACGACGTAATTGCCAAATGGGTCCTGGACTAGGTCAAAGGCACAGTGAGTGATTCTGGCAATGAGCTGAGCCCGCTGAAAGCCCTGCGCATGGTCGATACAGCGCTGAAGAACACAGCATCCGTGACGATGAGTGCCAACAATGACACAATAGTTGCCAACCGCATCGTAGATGAACTGAGAACGTTCGGCCCCGAGACGAGTGAGGCATTTCTGGACCACGTGGTTGCCGTTCAAGTCCTGAACAAGCTCGACAACGCGAGGGGACAATGCTTGGATGATAGTGTCGACCTGAGAAGGAGTATGAACGAACTCAATCATCTTCTGAAGGGCACGGGTTCCATGTTGATTGAGAGCAATGGTGGCCAGGGCAGGCGCGGCAGTATTGATCAAGGTAGTACGCTGCTCCTCATTGCAGTGCTCGAACAACTTCTGGCAGAGGTAGTTACCGAAGGGATCGGTCATCAGCTCAATGATATGAGGACAAGTCTCAACAAAGATGGCTTGAATATGCTCTTCATTGCCGTCCTCAAGCTTGCGCTGGAGGTAGCGACAGCCATGTTGGTCTTTACAGAGTTCATAGAGACTTCCACGATATGACTCAAGGGGGACGTTGTTGAATCGAGCTTCATCACCATGATTACGGCGACCAGTGCCTGAACGCTGTGGGCCAGAATAGTTATTGTTCATGCCATAGATTCCCTGACCCTGGCCAAAGGGCTGCATCGATCCGGCTGCCGGGGTTGGATTCATCTGATTGACGTTGAAAGTTTGCATATTGTACATGTATGGTTGCGGGGGTGGATATGTCGAGGTTGGACTGGTCAAAGCCATCATGTTGGCATCTGAGGTACTGGTGAAAGATGTGCTGAAGGGCGCTGCACTCGCATGCAAACTTGACAGTGGGGCTGCAGAAGGCATGGTTTTGTCTTCTAGCTTGACAGATCCGTTGGCGACTTCTCGGCTCTGACGGTTGTTTACTGCGTTCGCAGGAATGCGTCCCAAACTGACGTTGTGGTTATGAAATTGTTGCTCTGCTTGCGTCTTGGGAGGGGTAGGAGCTGTATCCAAAGTCAAAGTTTTCTTCACAGTCGGGACGTCGTTGGTCGAATAGGAGGTTTGGAGAGATGTTGGACGAGAGACAGTCAGACCTGAAGGCAGAGGCGAAGAATCTTCAAAAGTGACTCCCATAGAATGACGCTGAGATTTGCGACGCGTCAAATCCGCAGGACGATCTGCAGGAGGGCTGCTAATGTTGAGGTTGGTAAGGACAGGCCTGTACATGGAAGAGTCTGTATGAGGCATGCTCTGGTGAGCCGGTCTGTACCGAGATCCGAGAGTCCAGTCAAGATCTGGTGTCCTGCTATTTGCAAGATCCAAAGCAGCAGAGTTGGCAGAAAGCTTTGGTAAAGAGTTAGCGCAGGCTTGAAACGCGTCGAACGCGTCGACGTGAATGTCATACCTTGAGACCGTCACTAGTCAACGTTGGAAATGTGTCATCACCTTCAAGCTGTGCGAAAGCCTTCGCAACAGGAGATGTCAAATCGAGCGGGTTGAGTTTGTCGTCGTCCTCATCAAAGAGAAAACTGGTGGTGTTTGCTAAACCAAATGCGCCGCCGCCAGTCCCACTCACACTAAGACGTTGTGGATGACGACTGCTGTTGACTGGCATAGAAAAGCGGTTCAACCTGGAGGTCAAAAAGGTTAGATGTTTGGTGTCATCGCTAATAACAAAAGGGGGTGAGGTCACGTAAGAGTCGAGTTGAGGTAACGGAAACGTGGCCCGACCGTCAGGAAGGTGAAGCGGATGAAAGTGAAGTTTCATTCATGTATTCATGTTCTCGTGAAAGACTGCTGTGTAAAAACAAAGAGAAGGTTGAGGTGAGAGTGGCTTAAAAGGAGGAAGACGACTTACGAAGCAGCAGCTCGAGTGGTGGGCACGTCCTCGGGATAATACTCGTCTTCATCAGATCCTCTTCGAGACCCGGGTACTGATTTCGCAGAAGGCTTCTGAGACTGACTGTACATGCCGTTGCCAGACAGACGATTCGGTGGAGGTGAGGTGACTTGAGAGCTAGATTGAGAGATTCGCTTGCTCAGACCCGGAGGTGAAATGATACTGTTCATGGACAGTCTGCTAGAGCGCGAGAACCGATTGCTGAAACCACTTTCGGCGTACTCTGGAGGAGTGGTGGGTTCGCTCACAGGACCGTTGAGACTGATCCGATTCAATCGAGTAGAGATCCGCTCAAGGTCTTGAGTAGAAGCTCCCATCTGAAGGCTTCGCTCCTGAAGCTCCAGGAGCCGGAGCTGCTCCTCGGCCTTGCGCTTTGCATTCTGAATGTCTTCGTACATTTGCTTGTTTTTGGCCTGTGGTGGATCGGTGTCAGCCATCATAATAACCAGAAGTTTGTGTAGGGGAGAAAAGGCAAAGATACGGGTATAGGTGGCTGGGTAGTGCAGGCCGCAGATGGAGAAATCATTAATCAGTTAGAGCGAAGGTTTCCCGTTTGGTTGTAGTTGGTCTGAGACCGGTATTCACTTCACAACCAGGACCTGACTCCACAATACCCTATTGTTTCCTCCCAAATACAATAGCCTGACATCTCAAAAAGGGTTGCACAAGAATATGTGACATACCGCTGTCGAGTTAATCGACGTGTATTGCTGACCAAACGGTCTGGCCACGGGCATCTTACTCGAGTCCGTCGTGAAGCGACGCTGGAGGCTCGCGCGGGCATCGTTCGACGAGGAGTGCATGTTTGAGAAGAATGGATTTTGTTCTCGCGTGGAGGAACCATTCGAGCTGTAAGGGCTCTCGGTGTCTGGAGAGCGCAGATTGGGGAAGCGCAGTTCTTCCATGCGTCCACTAAGGGTGTTGGAGAATGCCATGTTCGAAGCTACATTGCAAAAATAACCGTTAGCAAGCCTCATACATCAACCATCCAGATCACGATGATTCGTTAGGCTAGACTCTCGGAGGTAGCCCTTGAATCTAGGGAGTTGACTTGCTGAACCGACTCAAAATGGCCGGTCGACACGCGTGTGCTCAGGGCTTGTGAAATGCGTACATACCCTGAATGTGGCCGAATTGATAGAATCAACACGCTGATTTCGTCTGATTCAACCAGGAGATGCTGTATTCAGTACAATATCGAAACGAGGACCGTGAGCAATCCCACAAGCGTGCGCGTGGTCGCAACGATGACAAAAAGGGAGTGAGAAAATAGATGCAGCCAACGCTGCGTGCGCGCCGAGGGCAGCACGACAGTCGAGATACGCTATAAAGACAGTGGGAGGAAAGCAGAGTGCAAGGAAAGGAAAGAATATTGTTACAAGCGTGCAAGAGGTAAAGTAGGAGGAAGGCACCTCAGAAACGGGATCGAATCTGGAGAGTGCTAGAGTAGCAGTGGAGGTTGGATTCGACTCTTGGGGGGGGCGTTTTGGTGGTGCGCATTTAGGCAAGCGCCAGAGCCCAGCGTGGGTACTGGCGCTCGATGGGTAGCCTAGACGAGGTTGTTAGCTTAACCTGGTTGCAGCGTGGGTTTTCTAGCTAGGAACTTGCCTCTGCCACTACTGGTGCCTTTTCTCTGGTTAGCCCTGGACTAATCCCTCGCTGACCAGGGTAGAGAGTCAAAGGCCAGCACGGCCTGGTCGACAATCGAGGTTCGAGGTCTGTGGCCGTGCCTGTTGTTGAGGACCTCTGGGTGGTACTGAGTCCTGTATCGTAGATTTCGTCTCAAGATTAGGTCTGGCTCCTCTCCAGCTCTTCAGCCTGACCCTTTTTTGTCCCCTCGAAAATTACCGGCAAGGTATATGAATTATGTAGATAGAGTTGCCAATCTGCGGGCTGCCTGCAACTTGGGCTGGTCAGTCCGTTCGTTCTACGGCAGATCCCCTGAAGCATATCTCCAAGACCCCGATGCCTAAGGGTGGGCATTTTGCACAATTCTTCGGTGGCCTGTTGGTGAGCAGTTCCCCCCCTCGGCAGCCACGAGCAAGGGACCAGAAGCGAGGAAGTGACGAACTGGGACCAGGTCAAAGCCTGTAGGTAAGGAGAAGCGTCCTCCGCCCATCAGACTTTGCGGGCAGGTCTGAAAGCGCCGGAGCTGGGACTGGCTGCTGCAGGATAGGCAATGGTGGCCACGGAGCGAGTGAGAATTCTTCCTCTATCCTCGTCAGAATGGCGTCGCAACTTCGGGCTGCGCCAATAGGGTCGATTCATGCGTGCGCATTACATCGTGGGCACGGTGGCCCAAGCCTTCGCTCACGTTGATGCGTCCACGCTTTGCTCGTCAGACAAGATATTTGTGTGGGGAAAGGAACTTGGGCCCGGGAGGCGTTCTTTGGTTCCCCAATCCCGTGAGCCATGGTCTTTCCAGGCAAAATGGCGGTCAAGCGGGAGGAGTAGGGGTCCCTGGCCGAGGAGCAGTGCCCGATGAGCACTTCTCTGGGCCTGCTTCAGGCACAGTGACACCAGAATGGAGCTCACGGTTCGAGGGTGCTGAAGGCCACCAAAGAGCCACGCGGGATGCCCTTGGGTGGCTCTTGAATATACTTGGAGGTCTCGGACCCAAACATATGAGTGCTTGTTCTCGTATATCGGTTAAGTTTCCACTGCCCTCCTGATCGGCATGGCGCAATAATCCAATTCTGGCTCTGTTTGACCACTTCGTACCCCACAGCCCTGGCCCCGACCATGAGACATTCAGCGAGTAGCGTCATGTCATCTTCCACAATTTGGTACCCTGAAAGTGAAGGCATTTACAGACACATGGCCTGTGGGCAGAAACCTCGTGAGAATCCCAAGATTTGGACGTTCTGATTCAGGAGTCGGCCCGACGTCAAACACACCAGTGCTTGACGTACCTCTTACTTGGTACTGCATTCTGTGACCTTTAGGAGCATCACCATGGCCAGGAATCCTAGTGAATGGGATACCTGGCCTTCTTCTGAGGATCGCCTATTAGCAACGGCTCAGAGGCGGTGATGCGGAATGATGTTTCCTACCCAATCTAGTGCCTGCACTTACTGTGCTTGCCCTCTATAACACCATGAGCGACAAGCCTGAAAACAGCTGAGAGGCACGGAGTATTCGGTAGACGACTATTAGTTGGGCTAAAGAGGTGCCGGCTTCACATAGCATAATCCTCCTCGACAAATTGTTGAATGCCCCTCTCGCGGCATGCCCAATTCGCCGTAGCGTAAGTGGTCTTGAGCGGTCCAAGCGTTGTCGTACTGCACACTGCAGGAAAATCCCAGCTAGAGCTTCGTTAGGCTTGACGCAAGTTTTGCACCGGGAACGAATCTGATTGAGGGATAAGACCATGAACGGGAAGCACGCCACGGACCCGCTGGCCAGGTGTACAAATGATCCCCTGCATGAAAAGTATGAAAAAGAGACCATTGAAGAGAAAAACCCCACACTCGCTGCTCGACGCCCGAGCGCTCGGGCGTCTTGGGCATCCCCAGGGCAAATCATTCTCCTTGTTGGGCATTCGCATCCGTGCTCTGGCCAACATCGGAATCTCGGGTCGCTTTGTGTTTCAGAATGACAGGGCCATTCCATGCGTGAAAAATCGAGGACGCATCCTTACCTGAATATTTGTGCACCATGTAACGAGGTTGGCATAATCCAATGGACGAGCTGCCAGTGCTGGCAGTGTGGAAATTGTGTGTGAAGGTTAGCCCACTAGCCCTCGGCATACATTCCATACGAGGTACCCGGTACGCATCCCGGGCTGCAGCCTGATGCCTGACCCCTCCCTTCACCGCCCTGGCCTCGCTGAGTCATCCGCATCGCGGCAGAATTGCTTGCGAAAAAAACGTTGCCCACCTCGAACTTGATTCGTTTGAGCCTTGCAATATTGCCTCTGATAAAAACACAGAGTCTCTCGACCCAACACCAAGTCATGCAAGGTGTGCTTCTCGGCCCCTTCGCCTGTGTCTTTCACTGCCCTTTGATGAGAAATGCCGCCCAAGAGAAAGATCGTCCAAAAGGTAAATCGAGCCCATTCCTTGGTAAGGATGGAAAGTAACAACGATAGACCACCGCAGTGCGGAAGGTGCCTGCTAGAGATGACGCCCATGCGGACGAGTGTGCTGCGAAGGACCCCTTGCCCGGGCGCACATCGAAAGAACACCCCAAGCCTGAGAGACAATCCCGCCGACCTCATCACGCAGACAGCTTCGATGCGGCGCTGGAGCCATTCTACTACAACAAATCTCTGACGGATCCTATCGATACTGCACGCGACAAATGGAACCTGCTACCTGCGTTCCTGAAGGTCAAAGGGCTCGTCAAGCAACACGTGGACTCGTTCAATCACTTCGTCGACGTCGAGTTAAAAAAGATCATTGACGCTGAGCCAATCATTACAAGTGATATTGATCCAAACTTTTACGTCAAATATGAAAATATTTACATTGGGAAACCCTGCAGACAGGAAGAGATGTCGGAGGTCGAGCGAAAAGTATTCAAGGGCTCGACTGTCACCCCGAATGAATGTCGCCTGCGAGATCTTACATACGCAGCCCCAATTCTCGCTGATATCCGATATACAAAAATGAAGGACCCATTTCGCGCCAAGGGCATTCCAATAGGACGCTTGCCAGTGATGTTGCGGAGTAACAAATGCGTTCTTGCCAACAAGTCGGAAGCTGAGATGTGCGCGATGGATGAATGCCCCCTGGACCCTGGTGGCTATTTCATTGTCAATGGCACTGAGAAGGTCATTCTGGTCCAAGAGCAGCTGAGCAAGAACCGCATTATTGTCGAGGCGGATTCCAAGAAAGACCTGATTACTGCCTCGGTTACTAGCTCCACCCACGCGAGAAAGTCAAAGAGCTACATTCTGCTCAAGAAAGACCTTTTATACATGAAGCACAATATCATCAAGGAGGACATACCCATTTGCGTCTTGCTGAAAGCAATGGGTGTTTCTTCGGATATGGACATGATGGCTATCGTTGCTGGCCCCGACCGCACCCTGCAAGACGACTTTGCAATCAATTTTGAAGAGACAATCAAGCTACAAATCCACACGCAGCAACAGGCCCTCGACTACATCGGAGCACGCATCAAGATGTCTATAAAGTCGACCCCTTTCGGACAAAGTCGCAGAAATCATGTCCAGGAAGCCGTTGAACTAATCAGTACTGTTTTCATTGCTCATGTTCCAATAGAAGATCTCAACTTCAGACCCAAGGCCCTCTATGTAGCCCACATGGCACGTCGGGCTCTGATGGCAAAGCGGAATCCAGCTTTGGTCGATGACCGAGATTACGTTGGCAACAAGCGGCTGGAGCTCGCCGGGCAGTTACTGGCTCTGCTTTTCGAGGATTTATTCAAAAAGTTCAATTACGAGGTCAAGGGGAAGATTGACAAAGAATTGAGGAAACAGAATAAGACCGCCTTGGTAAACCCTGTTGCTATCATGGTTGGTTCATCAGGTCAAATTACTCAAGGGATGAACAGAGCTATCGCCACGGGCAACTGGAGCTTGAAGCGATTTCGAATGGAAAGAGCCGGTGTCACCCACCTGCTCAGTCGATTGAGTTTTATCGCTTCCCTCGGCATGATGACCCGAATATCGAGTCAGTTTGAGAAGACGCGCAAAGTCAGTGGCCCTAGAGCGCTCCAGCCGTCGTCGTTTGGCATGCTTTGTCCTGCAGATACGCCTGAAGGAGAAGCTTGTGGGCTTGTCAAAAATCTAGCTTTGATGACGCACATCACAACGGACGACGAAGAAGCACCGATCAAGCGGCTAATCTTTATGCTAGGTGCTGAAGATATAGTCACTGTTGGCGGGTCAGAGCTCTATGCTCCCGGGTCGTATCTAGTACTGTTGAACGGCACTCCTGTAGCCACTACGCGACAGCCTTCCCACTTTCTATCCTCGTTTCGACGACTGCGCAGATCAGGACGAATCTCCGAGTTTGTATCAGTCTTCATCAACCATCACCACAACACAATTCAAGTGGCAACCGACGAAGGTCGGATATGTCGGCCGTTGATCATCGTCGAGGATAAGAAATCGAAAGTCACCAAACGATACTTGAAGTCTCTGAGACAGGGTTCGATGGATTTTGACGACTTTCTGGCACGCGGCCTCGTTGAATACTTGGACGTCAATGAAGAAAATGATAGCAATATCGCCATGTATGAATCCGACATCAGCGCAACGACCACTCATTTGGAAATTGAACCTTTCACGATTCTTGGTGCAGTCGCTGGACTGATTCCATACCCTCATCACAATCAATCACCCCGGAACACTTATCAATGCGCCATGGGCAAACAAGCTATCGGTTTCATTGCGAACAACCAGTTCTTAAGGATTGACACGCTGCTTTATCTCATGGTCTACCCTCAGAAACCCCTTGTGAAGACGAGGACCATCGAATTGGTCAAGTACGACAAGCTTCCTGCTGGCCAAAACGCAACAGTCGCTGTCATGTCATATAGCGGTTACGATATCGAGGATGCATTAGTGCTCAACAAAGCATCGGTGGACCGTGGCTTCGGTCGGTGCCAGGTCCTTCGCAAATATCCTGTCGCCATCAAGACTTATGCGAATGACGCTCACGATGCGGTCTACCCTCCCTCCAGGAATAATGACGGCACGATAGCCAAGGGTCATGCTCTCCTTGACGCAGACGGCGTCGCACGTGTCGGTGAGAAAGTTAGTAGTGGCGAGATCTACATCAACAAGTATGTACCGAGAAACGCCAACTCTTCGGGCTTGTCAGAGAATGGATCTGAAAGCCCCCGCACCTTTGGGATGGACCCACAACCACAGAAATATCGTCTCCCAGACCCCAGTTACATTGACAAAGTGATGGTGACTGAGCTGGAATCTGGTAATCAAATCATCAAGGTGCAGACGCGGCAGACGAGGGTCCCAGAAGTTGGCGACAAGTTTTCTTCCAGGCACGGGCAGAAAGGTGTTGTGGGAATCATTGCAGAGCAGGTCGACATGCCATTCTCAGATCTAGGCATCACGCCAGACATCATCATGAACCCGCACGGCTTCCCCTCTCGAATGACCGTGGGAAAAATGCTGGAGCTCGTTTCTGGCAAAGCTGGTATCCTGAAAGGCAAATTCGAGTACGGCACTGCATTTGGTGGTAGCAAGCTCGAAGACATGTCCCGGGCTTTGATTGAAGCAGGATACAGTTATGATGGCAAGGACTATCTCACTTCTGGCATCACAGGTGAACCCCTACCTGCTTACGTCTTCATTGGACCCATCTACTATCAGAAACTCAAACACATGGTTCAAGACAAGATGCATAGTCGGTCTCGTGGTCCTCGAGCCATTTTGACGCGTCAGCCCACCGAAGGGCGATCCAGAGACGGAGGTCTGCGGTTGGGAGAAATGGAACGTGACTGCCTGATCGCATACGGAGCGTCACAGTTGCTGCGCGAGCGACTGATGCTATCGAGCGATCAGCACCAAGTAGACGTCTGTGAATCTTGTGGCTTCATGGCGTTTGCACGATGGTGTCAGCGATGCAGTAAAGCAGGCGAATCGGGCTCGAACGTGGTCAGGATGACGCTGCCGTACGCATTTAAACTATTGCTGAATGAATTGGGCAGTATGAATGTCAATACGAGATTGATTGTGTCGGATGAGTTCCCTTCCGATGGTTCGAGGAGGGCTTGAAAAGAGAAGAAAACAAGACGAAAATATTCGCACATGAAGTGGACGAATAGCATGGAACAAGGGCTGGATCACTGAAAACTGTTTGCACACATGCATAGCGACGGTGTGCCTCGTCAAAAATCAAGGTTGGCTTGGGCTCAACCAAGGGATACTTTGCCGGTTTTTTTTTAAATGCAAATTTAGGGCATAAGCGATGGCGCTCTATTCCAAATTTTGTTGATTTGATATTCAGGACTTCCTGAACGTCGAACGACAACCGTTTACGTGCCACACAAAGATGCCCGAAGGAAAAGATACCTAGCCTTGTTTATGTACAGAAGCCTTAAAAATGGTACCAATTGCATTGAAAAATGCGTCGACCGCGCCTTCGAAGGCTATCACGTCTAGGCCGACTCCATCAATGTTCTTTCAAAAAGGCTACATAACTCGAACCAAAACGTCTGGAATCTGAAGGTAAGTCAACGCCATTGCCATTACCGCCGCCACCGCCAAAGCCGAGATCTACTCCTTGCGCCCTTCGTCTCAGCCTTTGTCTTCGTAACACTTCACCCAATCCTCCGAGAGCGTGCGCTAGGAACCGCTACGAGACGTCTTTTCTGTTTTGCCAAACAGATCCTCTCAAACATTGCCGTCTTCTTTCACTGTGCTTCTAGCCTCGTCCAAATTTCCATTTCGGAGGGCGAACCTGACTTGCTTTCTAGGTGGGGACCTTGGCGCGACGTATGCACCGGCTACATTGCGTTCATCGCTGCGTAAAATGGACCTCTGTAGTGTCTGTGGCCGGTTCGCTGACTGCTGCTCCTGCTCCGGCAGCGGCGGCGGTAGTAGGGGGGTCTGATTCGGAGAGTTAGGGCCTTCAGGACTAGGCGCATTGCTACGCGCGTCTTGGGTGGCCCCTCCACCACCATTTCCATCGTCACCATTGTCCTCATCGTCGTCGTCATCGTCGTCGTCACTGTCACTATCAACATTAGCCTCATGTGAAGACAACGACGAGGCATTTCCGTTGCCGTGAAGCCCGTTGAACCACCGATCGTGCGGACCCCGTTGACTATACATCGCCTTCCAGCTCGGGTTGAACCAGGCGGCTGGAAACACGCCATACTTTTGCGCGGGGAGTTTCAGCTTCGGGGCGTCGGGGTCGACAAACTGGCTCTCAATCAGATTTTTCAACTCCTTGCTCAACGGCTGGAAGCCGGCGTCCCCGAGGGGCATGTCGTTGATTTCGTCCGCGCGAAAGCACACCTTTGCCGGAAACTTTTTGTCTCTTTTGGCGCGTTTGACCGCCAGCCGGAGTCCACGGCGCGTCTCGTCCATGAGTTCTAACTGCGTGGGGCGGTTCGTCGGATCGGGGTCCAAGCAGCGGTGGATCAGATGGCGGAGACGGCTGCTGTAAACGCCCGGTTTCTTGGTGTAGACGTGCGAGATCTGATGATTGCCGTTCTGCTGGAATCGTCTAAGGGACTTGGCGCGGATTCGGCTGAGATGTTTTGCACTGGCGGCGAGTGTCACAACGTCGAACATTGTGTGTCCAACGCCGTAGATCTATGACGAGAGAAATAGATGGATATGTTAGCGGACTTCTCTTTCCATGCATTCTCATCACCACGCCCGCGGGAGTGGAGGCGTATGCACAAATAAGCATTGTCAGGATTGGTGGGCGACTAGGATAAGACCAACTTACATTCATTGAGTGATCGAACAACACGTCGGCATTCGGCTGTGTGTTTTCTACTTCACGTAAGACCGCCGCCCTTTTCCATGGGAGCTCCCGATTTTGGTCATCTTGGGACCTGATCCAGCCGCCGTCCGGGGGGATCTCCCAGTTGACGCCGAAATGGATTTGTTCCTGCATCGATTCCCGTCAGCGTCGTCAGAACATTTCAAAATAGCAGTAAAATGACCTTGGGGCAAAAGCGGGGGAGATAAAGGCTTGCCTACCGGTGCCTTGTGGGAGCGGGTGCCACGCCACCAGATCAAGCCAGGATTCAACCGTCGTTGACCCTCTTTGCTGGTCGTGTACATAGATATGCCGTAGTCATTTAGTAAGGCGGATGGGTACTCTTCGCCCTCGCGTGGATAACCGAGGAGAATATTTTCTGGTTTCCAATCCAGGTGAAGGCAGAATAGCTCATCGTGGACCAAATTCTCAAAGTACTCTTCTTTGATGGCCTTGCTGTTCAACGGGGGAGTGTTCCGAAGCGCTTCGCACGCTTTGGCTAGGGAATAGAAGACGTGCCAGATGAAAACCTCCGGCAGATAGGTGTTCCAGCACCGATATAGACGGCCCAGGTGATGCAGACTGCCGTAGGGACAGTACTCCAGATAAAATCGATATCGCCCCTTCTGACCGCGGGTCGCGTGGCTTATGAACTTGTATTTCCGCAAATGTGGAGAGACACCTGGATGCGTAGCATTGATGTCGGAGTGGATGGCCGCTTCTGTCAGGATTCTGGGATACGCCCTAGGATCGACCTCGATTTCGTTGACGCGAGTTTTTTTTTCAACGTATTCGGTTTCCTTGCACACGACCTCGTCAATGATTTGGTTCTTGTCGTTCCGTTTCTGCCATAGGCCGACCATGCCGTATCCGCCTTTCCCAAGCAGTCTTATGGGTCCCCACTCCTCATCATCTTTCTGATCGTCTTCGAAGAGGAGCCACCTTGACATGAAGACCTTTGCATCCGTCTCTTTAGCAAAAGCTCCTCTCACTGTCCGATCATCGTGCCATAACTGGTCAAAGTCCCGAGGAGCCTGTCGCTCCTGTAGAGCTCTAGAATGGAATGGGACGTGGAATTCGTAAGCGTCAGCGCTATCAATGCGATCAGTGAGGCCGAGCACCTCGAACGGACTACCGTCCAAGCGCTTGCCTTGCACAGGCATATTATGAGAATAAAATATACTGTCACCGAGAGCTGGAAAACAAGTGTAGTGACTCTTGGGGCTAGAAGTGAAAAACAATGCTTTAGCAGTAAGTGATAGGGAAATGCTGCAAAATGCTGCGATGCAAGCGACACAATATTGTTAAATTGGAATCTGAACGCATCAAAGATCAGTTGTAGCGGACAAAGGAAGCAAATCGGCCCAGGCTTTCAAGGGGAAAACGTATTTAGCTCATGCAATTTATGAAGGAAATTCATAGCAGTGCTGAAAGACGACTTCGCGCCAGATGTTTGATGATCTTCAGCAATCGTTTTCCCTATTGCGTGAGAGCTACGCCAGAGAGCCATCCAAGGGAACTCCTGAAGTTGTCTTTTAGCGAAGCAGATACATGTCCAAAGAAATAGAAGCTGTTCTCCGCAATTGCTAGCAAGACAAAGGTTTGTTGTTGTGTTCATCGAAATACATAGCACGGAGATACGTCCTTGTTAGGTCAGCCGCATTGAGACTAGTGCAACTACCGTCTTGGCGCTTAGGTAATGCACCCCCGCTCTCTACATCTATTCTCTCCACTGACATCATGCCATTGAATCTGTTCCTTCGAGCAGACTCCCATGCTCGTTTTCCCTTTACCCTCGGCTACTTGCTTGCGGTATCTCTTCATAGCGACTCGTGTTCTTCCTCACCGGACGGCGATCTCAGCGAAAGGCTGACTATCAGAGGACTGATCTCAGAAAATGGCGATCGAGGGCGTCCCTACTGAGATGCTTGCTGTTCAAATCGTGGAGGTATGTTCAAGACGCAGTTGCAAGGACGTCAATACACCATCCTCGAGGGCGCAAGCTGATTGGAGGTGACGGTGGGCGACAATAGTTCAACAAGCCTTATAAAATCCATAAAGTGCCCACTCCCACAAGCCTTAAACCATACGAAATCCTGCTCAAGACAGTGGTCGCATCATTATGCCACACGGACAGTATGGTGGTCGCCGGCAAATTTCCGACAAAGCTCCCTTGCACGGCGTCGCACGAAGGGACAGGCATCGTCGTCGCAGTCGGCGATCAAGTCACCAATTTCAAGAAGGGCGATCGCGTCATGTCAGGTCTCCCCCGGAACCCTTGCGGAAAGTGCTTCAACTGTCAAGGCCCGAATGATTGGCATCAGTATTGTCAGCATTTTGAGGGACATATTGGTGTTTTCGTGGATGGGGCTTTCAGTGAGTACCACGTTGTGGACAGTCGGACGAGTTGTCATATTCCGGACAAAGTGAGCTTTGCGAATGCAGCACCCCTGGCCTGTGCGGGGTGTACGATATACCGCGCCGTTATTGTGGCTGAGGTACCGGAGGGAGGGTGGTTGGGTATCGTGGGTGCAGGTGGCGGGCTGGGCCACTTGGGTATACAATTTGCCATCGCCAAAGGGATCAATGTCGTGGCGGTTGATGCGAGAGACGAAGGGCTTGAGCTGTGCAGAAAGGCAGGCGCAAAGCACATTTTCGACGCGAGAGAGGGGAAAGACAAAGTCGTGGAGCAGGTGCAGAAGCTCACAGACGGCATGGGTGTCCATGCTTCGATCAACGTCTCAGAGCACGAGACCTCGGCCGATATGGCCTGTGCCATCACGAGGATGCACGGGACGATGGTGCAGACTGCGCAGCCGGACCGGTGAGTATAGCGGTTCTCGAATCAGGCAGGGGCTCAGTGGCTGACTTCCCGGTAGGGTCTGTGTGGCGTTCCAAGAACTTATTTTCCGAGACATTCGCATCAAGGGGACATTGATCGCGGGACAAGAGTACAGCCAGCAAATGCTAAACGATGCCGAACAGTTCGGTATCAAGGTCGAAACGAACGTCTTCTACGGGTTGGAGGAAGTGCCCAAGATGGTCGAGCTGGCCCATTCGGGAAAGATGAAGGGAAAGGCTGTCTGTGTTGTTGACAAGGCTGAGTTTGAGAAAGAAAAAGTATAGGAGTGTCTCATGCCCACGTGCGGTAGGGCAAGGGTTGCCGCTGTTCATACAGGACAGGGCCTTCAGGGAAGTGAACGTACTGAGTGAAGTACAATGTGTGCTGATACGACAGGCATCTGAAGCAAAGCGCTCCGTGGAAGATAGCTATCTTGTTGGCTTCCCCCCAACCATCTCTTGTTCACCATGGATATTCGATGAACAATGTCGCAAGAAGAACTTGAGATCCACGCTTACATTGAATTTGTGTACTTCGACCACCCCTCTCCATTGCCAGAATCCAACAATAAGTAGTAGATGATATTGGGAAGATTTCCAAGGTCAAGCTTTGGAAAAGGCCCTCAGCTCCGAGAGGCGCCAAAGCTCCGCAGTAGTAGAACCTACGGTGGGTCCAGATGGCCCAAAGTGCACACACACATATCAGGCCTCCCACCTCCCAACTTCCAACCTCATGTCATGACACAGACTGCTTGTAATGCTGTTCTGTAGAGGGCTATGAGAGCCTGAGACATCCTTGAACATGAAGATGATGTTGCGCAAAAACTGTTGACATATTTCAAGGACTATTCCAACAACACGGAGAGAGTAGCTGTGAAGGAGCAACGGGCTGCTAGGGAAGGAAGTACACGCACACAAAAAGAGAAAGAAAAAAAAAACCAATCAAGGTGAGTACGAGGTACTCGGCCATTGCGCCCAGACTGATCGGACGAGAAGATGATGACCGCTACCATACGGTATCATGGGCAGTGGACGGTTTGTTGTCGGCAGTGAAAGACTCTCGTTTCGGTAGCTTCGAATGGGGCTGAGAAAATCGAATTTTTCCTCCAAGATGAGGAAAACCGCTGCAGACTGACTCCACTTCGTTTGCAGCTCGTTTGCAGCACCGACTGAGACGCTCGAACCCGGCGAATTTCTGTTTGTTGAGCGCGATGTTCGAGTGGTTGGGTCTCCTTTTCGCTTGTTCGATATTGCGCGGGACATTCAGCCTCGAACTCAGGCAGGTTGTTTGCATCGTCGAATCAAGCACGAACCGACCCGGAGTTGACTTGGACGAGGCTCCAGGATATGTACGGCTTAAAAAGAGATGGAGGTGAGTCTCACCAACAGCCTCGCCATCCTTGGCGGCAAGGCTCGCAGTCTGGTCTGCGTGGCTGCGGCACGCAGAACTGAACCACCCAACGTGGGCCAAGGCCACACACAACGCTATGTCCACCTTTCGAGGGAGAAAAAAGAAAGAAGGATGGATTTCGAACACAAAAACTTTCGCACCTCGGAGTGTTCGGGCTCGAACGCACTCCTCGATGATAGAAAGAAACCCCTTACCTGGGGGCTTTTTTGGGCGCAGCCACAGACCTCTTCCCGAGTACGCAGCGCAGCCGCAGTACCTGGGTTGAAAGTGTCTTCCGTATACAAGGTAGGGACGGTAAGACTGCACCAAATCTCCCGGTAGCAGGGGGGGTGCTTGCATTCAGGACACAATTCCTGGTCTTCAATTCATATCTGCTTGAACTCGGGGCTGGCAGGTGGGTGTGGCAGAGTGGATGGCGAGGCCCGCCGAGGGTGATGGTAATGTGGTCGTTTTTCGATCATGTGCTATGAAGAAAGGCAGATTCACTTCGTCAATGGAATGGTTCCATGACCATACGGTTATGGCTACGGCTGGTGACGGGGGGATAGGTTTGGGACTGATACTTGGAAACCGCTAGTCGAAGGTTCCAACGAAACACTGAAGTTTAAAGGCCTGGCTACATGCTTCGACGCGACATACTGCATTCCTTGGATGGACAGACTGCTCTGATGACACTGCAAAGGCGTTTCCTACATGCTTGATCTTTCAATGATTTGAACGTTTTGGGTATCCTGTTGAGATTACCGAGTACTGTACGGAGTATATCCTGTTACTCTTCTGCAAAGCGGAGAAAATATCTATCATATCGCCACCATTCTCCATCCCGTCCGAGCTAGCTTTGCAGCGAGGATCGAACGCCCTGCTTTCGATTGCACCAGACTCCTGCTCCAAAGGTCCATCCCACCTAGCCGTTTCTATGTAAAACAATCCCTAGCAGTTGCATGACACTGCCGAGAGAGAGAAGATGACACTGCGCCTCTGCAGTGGATTACTCCTCATGTACCCAAACCTCTTTTACGCCATGCAAATGCTTCGCTAAACGTTCTTCCCTGTGACTTGTATGCAGGTCCAGACGCGAGATCGCAACGAGAACCCTGCACTGTACATGCTGTACATTTCATGATCAATACCCATGCCTGTGAACGCCATGCATTGCAAGAAATCCAACCCCGTCTCCGATTCTAATTCATGCGCCCCTTTAGTTCAAACACCAGACCCAGATTCTTTTTGCTTTCTTTCGATCAATCGCTCTCCGGCATTCGCATATATGCATCAATCGCCGCACTGAATGCCGCGAAGCCAGCGCATCCGAGCGCAGCAGCTTGGGGCCCGGCTTTGTGCGCCAATATCCCGCCTGTAATGCATCCGGCAGAGACGCTGTTCATTAGATCGCTCTTCGCCCGGAATCCTTCTATGCAGCATTCGGTTCCGCTGTACAATGCACCGATGAGGGCGAAGTTTTTAGCCGATGAGTATGATTTCGAGCCCATGTCTTTGAGGCCCCGGCGGAGTTGTTCACGGACAGGGAGCGAAGTGATTTGTTGGCCCTGCGGGGAGAGCGGCGTGTCATAGGCCATCTAATTCCGGGTCTCGTCAGCTGCTGGGTTTTGCGTTGCAAACGTGGCGATGAGCGCTGCATGGCTTCAAGCGGAATGCAGGGGAAGGGAAATGGTGGAAAGAGGAAGATGCGCGCTTACACTCGACATGAACAGACCAAAAGCGCCGCCGAGGACGAAGCCCATTCCTCCAGCTAGGGCTGATTTTGCGACACAGGATTCCATGCCTTTTTGCATCTGTACGGATACCAGGTTCGATTAGCCATCAGTTCTTCCGCGCAATTCACAGCCCCTGGCGCCAGGACGCCAGAAACGTGCTCCGTGCCAATGTCCCATCTCAAACGCTCCGGGATGTTTGTGCTTCCTACCATCTTCACCATCTGCTGCTCCGGCTCGCTCAAGCCTGCGTTTCCTCCTGCTGCTCCGCCGCTCATCCCTGGGCCGCCGAATGCGCCTGGGAACGCCATCGTGAAAGAAGTCGTGGGACTGTGATAAGGAGTGGATGCGGTCAGGGAGGGGAATCGCTGTTGGAGAGGGAGGACTGGCTACAAGGAAAATAGAGGCCTATATCGATGGACAAATGCTTTGCGGCAAAAGAAATTCGCGACATTGAGCGGGATTTTGCGGCGAAAATCAACCGGGCTTCCGATTGGCGGATGGACGGACTCTATCGGATACATGGCGAGGCTGAAAGTGGAAAGGGAGGACTGGGCAAGGACTGGGGCAAGACTGGGGCTATGCAGGATAAAATCCTTTCCAAAGGGGCAGAGCTGGTCTATACTATGAGAAATCTTTCTTTATCGACTTTAAATGGCAATATCATGTCCTTTAGGGTACGGACGGAGTGAAATCTCTTCGAATTGACCATAGTATCAGCTTTCGTAACACCACATCTCCGTATCCGTGAGACACTGATCAAAATGTGCAACTGCGGTAGCTCGCCATACTTTTCATGCTTCATTCCGTTCCAAAGGCCATTGTGGAAATATTGCACTGGATAAAGGCTGCTGTACAATATGTGAGTTCTCCTCCTGAAGGTGCAGAATTGACATCGCGGGTTTCGCTGGAATCCCCGCTATCATCCACTGTGCTCGATTCCTGGTCCCTGTGGCTTGACTGCTATGACATGTCGGTCTTCAATGCATATCCTTGAAAGCCACTGGTTGATACGGCAGGACGTATAACCGCATTCCGTCTTTCCCTGTCGGAGAGTCTTATCCGAGCTTCTGCGCCGCTGAGGGCTTTTTCTGACCGACTGCTCCTTTATCGAGCACTGTTGGTACACGTTCATTTCGCTTCGTTGCGGTGGCGACGGAGCTCTCAAAGATGTTAGTCTTCTTCGCTTTTAGTGCCTGTCGGCGACCGACCGACCCCAAATCCAGGCCTTCCCCTAGGAAACTCAACAACAGAGATTGTCTTTTCGAGAGTTTCGTCTGAAGTTTGCCCCATTGAACTGTCGACGGCTCCATACCCATGTGTCAAATTTGCAGGACGAGCTTCGATAACAAGTTGTGTTATTCTTCGTGTGGCGTAATTTCGAGCAGGATCGATGTATCAGAAATTCATTCATCTCCCTCTGCCCCGACCACCTCCCAACATTCCTCCCATCTGCTGCATGAGTGCATCCATGCCTCCGCCTCCACCACCTGCCCCCATGCCCATATTTTGCATCATCTGCATCATTTTGCCGAGGTCACCGCCTGGCATCCCGCCCCGGCCACCACCCATACTTTGCATCCTTTTCTGCATGGCTGCGAGCTGTTGTTGTCTGTTGCCGCCTTGCAACATACTGTTGGCCTTCGCCATATTCTTCTTCTGTTGGCCCATGTTCTTGGCGACACTGGCCATCACTTTATGCTGTGTGAGAAGTTCTTCGACCTCTCTGACACTGGTCCCTGAGCCGCATGCGATCCTCACCATTCGAGAGGGCTGTGAGATCAGGATCTTGCCGTCAGAATCTAGTTCTTTGGCCGTCATGCTGTCAAATATATACACCATTCGCTTTAGCTTTTCAGTTCCGTCTTCATCGGACATGCCCTGCATCAAGCCGCTCATACCGGGAATCATGCTGCCGATCTTGGAAAGGGGGCCCATCTTCATAATATTCGTGATTTGCTCTTTCATGTCCCGTATCGTGAAGATACCCTCAGACAAATGTTTTTGTGTTTCCTTCATTCCCGCTGACTCTCTCGTGAGCGTTTGAATTTGTTCGATGAGGCCGCTCATATCTCCGTATCCGAGCAGCTTGGAAATGAAGGATCTGGCATCGAATCTCTCCAGATCCGCCAGATGCTCGCCGGTGCCAAGGAAGATGATAGGAGTATGCGTTGCAGCGGCAGCAGCGATGGCGCCTCCGCCTGCTGCACCACCATCTGTTTTTGTGATGATAAGAGCACCAAAGTCAGCTGTAGCCTTAAAAGCTGCCGACTGTGCCTCGGCCGCTTGACCAATCGTGCCGTCTAGCACCATGATTGTCTGATCCGGCTTGATAGCATTCTGAACAAAGATCATTTCCTGGAACAAATCTGCTTCCTGCTTGTGTCTCCCCGAAGTGTCAACGATAATAACCTCGAACTTCTCCTTTTTAAATCTCCCAACGCCTTCGGCAGCTACCACAGCAGGGTCTGTTTGGGTGAGTGAACCATAATATGGTATCTTTGCTTTTGTCGCATTTTGCTTCAACTGATCGTAGGCGCCTGCTCTGAAGGTGTCTGCGCAAACCAGGCAAGCCTTGAAACCCCGGGCTGCATAATATCTCGCCAACTTCGTACATGTTGTCGTCTTCCCTGCGCCTTGAAGACCGACCATCATTATCACATTCGATCTGCCCTTCTTAGGTTTGTATGGTTCGGCGTGAGGATCGACAAGTTGGACAAGGTGCTCGAAGACCGCTTGTTGTATCATACGCTTCTTGCCATTGGAAGTCGTGTTGGGTGGAAGGTCTTTGAAATTGACAGCGCTCTGTATCGACTTCCGCAGATTCTTCACAAGTCGCACGTTGACATCGGCCGACAGCAGGGCAGAACATATCTCCTTGATCATGGCATCGAAGGCTTTCTCGTCAAGGTTGGGTTCGCGGTTGAGGTTCGACACGGCGGCATTAATGCGCCGCCCAAGGTCTGAGAGAACCATCTTGCAAAGCTCGAAGGGTGTTTATGAGAGCTTTTGAGATATTCACGGATCCAATATTGGAAGGCGGCGAGATCGAAGGGAGTGAAAGTGGCACGAAGTCGGTTGGGGGGGGGGGAGGGCAGAAGGGGACACCATACCCGGTAGTGGGAGCCAGTTTGTTCCGCAGTTTTGCCGGACATTGTGAAGAAATTCCAGAATAAATCTTGGCCAACCTTGAGCGGCAGCAGCGCCCTCTGTTCTCCTCAACCACAGCACCTAGGTGACCTTTCCTTTCCGGCGAACCAATACCAAGATGGCTCCTTTGTCGCAAAAGAAGCGCAAAATCGAAGATGGGATGCGTGGAAAGACCGAGCGACCCAAGAAACGTTTCCGCAAACAATTGGAATACCACAGTTCAAGCGACGAGGAAGACCAGGAAGACCAAGTATTTGCCACGGCCAATTTGGATGAAAGTGACGAAGAGCGGGTCTCTACGAGAATAGCTAAGACAGAAAAGAAGAAGACTGTGCCGTCTGAAACGGACGACGGATCCGACGAACAATCAGGAGATGAAGACGAAGATACACGATCGGAGGAAGATGCCAGTTCGGACGAGGAGAGTACGGAGGGAGGCCTCAATAATGCAGGCAGAAGAAAGCCTATAAGCAAGAGAAACGACCCGGAAGCATTCTCCACCTCAATCTCAAAAATCCTATCGACCAAGCTATCACAATCAACCCGCCAAGATCCTGTGCTATCGAGAAGTAAAGAAGCTGTGGAAACTAGCGTCTCCCTTGCAAATGAGCGCCTGGAGAAAAAAGCAAAGGCTAAACTGAGGTCGGACCGCAAGGAAGAGTTGGAAAGAGGAAGAGTAAAAGACGTCTTGGGCCTGAGCTCGGGACAAGCGGGCGAAGTTGCTGAGGAGGAAAAGAGATTGCGGAAAATTGCCCAGCGTGGCGTTATCAAGCTCTTCAACGCCGTACGTGCGGCTCAGGTCAAAGCTGAACAGGTTGCCAAAGAAGAGCGGAAGAAGGGAACCATAGGAATGGCCAACCGCGAGGAGAAGGTCAACGAGATGAGCAAGCAAGGATTCCTGGATCTGATCGCAGGGAAAAAGAATGCCCAAAGCGCGCCAGCCTAACGACCGGAGGGCCTTGTGAATGTGAAAGGTTCTCTGGGTATGACGTCCGCCCAAGCGAGGAGCAATGGAGAGCCATTTGTGATAGTACATGTCTAATGTCCAATCCTCAATCTATCATCAACTGCGCTGCTCGAAATCCGAAGCCTGCATGTTCCGCGTCATCTGTGGCAGTCTCACCACTAACCCATCTAACTCCTTGGACATCTTCACCTGACACCCTAACCTCGATGTTTCCGTCAGGCCGAAAGCGAGGTCTAACATGTCGTTTTCGTCGTCGGTGGCCTCTGGGATCTTATCGTACATTTCATCGGAGTCAACTATTACGTGGCAGGTGGAACAGGCACATGAACCGCCACAGGCGCCTTTTGGCAAAATCAGTCAGCATAAACATTGTAGAAGGACTGGGGCAATGCTGTCAAAAACACACCTTCCATCTCCAGATCATTAGCCTGCGCAATATCGAGCAGGTTGTCGCCTTCCGCAACCTCAAATGTGTGCTTGTCCCCTTCCTTGTCTATGAACGTAACTTTGAGCCTGTAAATCACCTAATCAGCGTCTGCAACCATTCCCGTGGCTCAGGTTGGGCCCTTACTCTTCCCCCGGCTTTGGTGGATCCAGATGTCCATGTCTGCTCACTCGGGTCGTGGAGAACCGCCTCCTGCCCAGCTCTAGAGAGCGTATATGACCCCGTATCAGATCCTTTTTAATTCCGAGCTCATGTTGATGCCGCCGGCACAGCGTTATCGTCGCGGTGTCGAGGCTCAGATTTCGACTGAGAATTCGAGTTGCGCCGGATCGCAAGTGTCGCGCCTGGTCAGATCGAACGCATCGTAGGGGATTTGCTCCTATGAGACCCCGCACACCGTTCCATCCAGACATTCTTCTCCCCAGGGGCTCGCGGGTGATGGCTCGAAGGGTCCGCCGCTGCTCAACAAGAGTGCAAAGAAAACAGGACAAAAGTTCGATCCACAGTTGATTGGACGTGACGCAAAAACGTTCAAGCTCTCGGCCGAAGTAAACCCGCCCCCGAGCCGTGCGCCATGTACCTCGTAGCCTTGCCGCCTTGCATCCCCGCAACGTCCTTCCAGGCCGAGTAGTAGCTATCCTGAGACACGGCGGGTAGTTTCTACTTCACTATAACGAAGACTAAACGGATGACGGTGGTGCCCAGCACAGGCACATTCAGGGCCTCGGACAAATGATTTCCACATGTCCAGCATGCCGGCAAAGTATTAAGTAAAAAGCATAAATACAGAGATAGAAGCTAACATAGACAAAGCTGTGCCTGCACGCCTGCTTTCCCATTCGCCTAAGAACCTCCAACCCATGCATTCCAGTTGACGTTTCCACCAGGACAGTCTGTGCTGATGGGTGCACCATTAACAGGACCGGTCTCAGTGCCGTCGCTGGTGGTAACGGACACCGTGACATCTCCAGTCAAATCGGCAAATGGCACGTTGGAATGGAAGATGCCAGGCGTGCCTGCAGAGACTGTTTGCGTCGAACCGCCAATTGTCACGTTGACTGTTGCGACGGCGGTGTCAGGCACAAATGCTGTGAAGAAGACCGCGTCAATGTCACACTCCTGCGTACTCAGAGCCACCTGGCCTTGCGTGGGAGTGTTGCATGTCGTTCCGGCCCCGCACGCACTTCCTGACGCAGGGTTAAGGCGGTACCAGAAGGTAATATGACTCTCATCTGGCCGACTCGTGTTTTTGTAGGCTGCAATATAGTGAGGCAAGTCTTTCAGCCAGGCATCATGCGGGTTATTCATAACGTAGGGGCCCGCGCCGTCTGGAATGGCTGAGTCAGTGGGCGGAATTGGGCCAATATAGTGGGATTCTCCCCAGTCGTTCCCTTAACCAACCATTAGACTTTGTCTTTGAAAGGCGAAATATTGTGGGTCCAGTCACAGGTCAGGATCTCAACAAAGGCTGGCTGCTCGTCGAGAACTTGATCCCAGCGGTCGTGCCAGAGATCATCACCTCGCCAAAGCCAATTTTTTGACCATAATGGGAGATTGGTGTAGAACCAGGGAGAGACTGGCATCATGTAGGGTCGGCCATCCGGGGCAGTAACATAAGCCTGAACATATCCATTTGAATTGATCGTATCAGCATAGGCAATGTTGAGTGCGAATCCGTCGATACCAGCCGCAGTTGCGGCTGCAATGTCGCTTGCCCAGCTAGCTTGGGTGTAGCTATAGGTGTTTCCCACCTAGACATTATCAGGAGGGCACAATCAATGTTTGGAGAAGGCAACTTACTATCACATGAGCAAAGCCTGATTGAGCTAGAATAGGTGATGCAAAACCAATGAATGCCAGACAGGCCAAGGGAAGGAGCAACATCAGAAACACGAATCCTAGAAAAAGGAGTGACTCAGTTAGGAACTTTGACTCGGCTGGCGCTGGTGCGCGTGGTGGACGGTCTTCATGGGTGCAAGGGTCCTCTTGGGGGTGGTGTTTCTCGCTTCTGAATCCTACGCTCCGTACCTTTTGAAGCAAAAAGCAGTACGACTGCGTGCCGACACGGGGGAATGGGCGATTCATGCCAAAATCGAAGAACGGCATGAAACATCGCGACAGATGCTCAAATACCCGTTCCAGAGACCCTTCGTTGGGGGCCTGTCGCTTTCGGCCATTGATTGTGCATGTGGCTCGAGAGAGATATTATACCCGCTGGGTCAAGTCAAACAATGGCATCATGGTTCCTGAGTGGCGGATGTCTATTTGGCTCACAGGTGCGGTGGCCTTCCCTGTGGGTCTGTTTTGGTTCGCCTGGACCGCTGCGTACCCTATATACGTACATTGGATTGTGCCGAGTGCCAGTGGAGTTGCGACTGGCTATGGGCTTCTTACCAAATTCATCGGATGTAAGTTGTTGTTCATGTTCCGAGATGCTTTTGTGCGTGGGAGAGGAACCGTCGTTCGATTCTGTCAATGTGGGTTGATACTGACGAATGCTTACAGGTTTCAATTTCATCCTCGACGTCTATAGAACCAAGTTAGTACTTGTCATCCCTGTCTCGAACCCAGTTAACTGATGCCCTGTCGCAGTTCTGCATCCGCCTTTGCCATAGCAACCATCTCACGTTCGGCCCTCGCCACCGGCTTTCCTAGGTTTGCAAAACAAATGCTCCACAATCTCAGTGTCCCGTGGGCAAACACACTACTGGGGTGCTTTGCCACGCTTCTCGTCCCGGTTCCCATATGCTTCTGGTTACGGGGGCCGCAGATTCGAGCACGGAGTAGCTTTGCCGTTGACAATGTATTTTTTCCGAATCAAGGTGGTGGTGATAAGAAGCAGGAGGGCGCACCTAACGACAGAGATGTAGCGAGGGCAGATATGGAGATAGGGCGAGCTGTGCACCCCAACATAAGCGGACGAGGCCGGGATGAGGGTCGCCCAGAAATGAATGCCATGGACTCAGACTCAACCGTCGTGAGCAGCGTTTGAATTTTCGATAGTATGGGGAGAGCAATTGCAAATTTGCGACTATGGGAGCCACAAGGGACTAGTTTTTGCTTTCATTATTTCTGGCTTGAATGACTCCTGTAGCGAGTAATGCTTCGGCATCTGCTCCATGCTCGCCTCAGCCTTGCTCAGCCTTGTCAAGGGGGAGAAAAGAAGCTTTCAAATGACGTTGAACTGCACTTTGCGAGGTTCTTGCTGCACCGTACAATTTTCCGGTAAATTACGTCGCCGACATTTGCATGGATTGAACTGCATTTGATCACCTTATGTGCACTGTCTTGACTGTCACAGCATAGAGACAGCTGCATTCCAGCGACCTGTGTCGCTTTCAGAGCCTCTCGCCATGCAGGATTCGAGATACGTTCCCAATCCTCTCCGGCCGTACTACGTCCCTCCATCCATTGGAACCGAGCCGCTGCCAAATGCTACCTTGGGTGGCTCGAAACCTAGCACTCAAGGACCGAGTTTCGCGTTTCCCGACATCGACTACTCCGACTACATTTCTGATAATTCGCCATCTCTGCCAGGATCAGTCAAATCCATAGTTGATCGTGCGTTATGGAAATATGCAAATGTTGTGCTTGCGCAGCCCTTCGAGGTTGCAAAGCTCATTCTGCAGGCACGCGTTGCCCAGGATGAGGAGGAAGAAGAAGAAGACAAAAAGCCACGAAAGAGGTATGCATATAGTGAAGCAGGGGAGGAGGGCGCGTATGGGCATGAGGACTATGACTACGAGCATTCATCGGACGACGAACCAAATTATTTCACGTCGACTGCGCCCTTGGAGCAATCGATCTCGACTCGCTTGCCAGCTCGGGGCCGGCGTGGAAGGCCACCTCGAGAGACGGCATCCTCACGAATGCCGGAGCGCCCTCAACAACCCGATGTGCAATTACACCTCAAGAACCCTCACTCTCTTCTTGATGCCCTCTCGTCGCTGTCGTCGAGTGGCGGGGCGTTGGCGATGTGGCGGGCCACCAATTCTACATTCGTATATAACATTCTGACCCGGACGTTGGAGACCTTCTTCAGGAGCTTCCTGGCGGCTGTTTTCGGGGTGGCAGAGAGTGACATTCTCGCTACGTCGGCGCCGGGAGCACTTCCGGACATCTCTATTCTCAACTCTACCGCTCCGGTAGCCACCATCATGATCAGCAGCGCAGCGGCAGCAATGTCTGCGCTTGTCCTCGCACCCATCGATGCCGCGCGAACCAGACTCATCCTCACACCTTCTAGTCAAGAACCTCGGACACTGCTCGGCACTCTACGGACATTGCCAACTCCGTACCTCATCCCCAGCCACCTTATCCCCATCACCTTCTTCACCTCGACTCTACCGACACTCATCTCCACGAGCACTCCAGTATTCCTCAAGACCTATCTCGGGCTGGATCCCGCCATGAATCCCGCTACTTGGAGTCTTGCAACATTTGTGGGGTCGGCCTTGGATCTGTCAGTCAAGTTCCCCTTAGAGACTGTCCTCCGCCGAGCCCAGATTGCTACCTGGACATCGCCAGCATATGCACCCCCTTCTTCCTCCTCGAAACGCAAGGCTATCACGACCATTGTCCCGGTGCCACAGTCCTACCGAGGAATTCTACCGACCTTCTGGAGCATTGCCCGGGAAGAAGGTTACTCGGAGACGCGAAAAGACAAAACCGCGGCATTGATGGGCAAAGCCCCCCGGCGGAAAAGGAAGGGCCAGGGGATTGAAGGGCTGTACCGCGGCTGGCGGGTTGGCTTCTGGGGATTGATCGGGGTATGGGGGACATCATTTGTGGGAGGCCTCCAAAGCGGCAACGAGTCGGCGGCGGCGGAAGCTGGTGTCCACGGCGGTAAGTTTTGATCCCTGAGTTTCTGGAGGGACGTGTTTGGCAATGTTGGGCCTGGTGCTGGGTAGCCTGGTGCTGGGTAGCCTGGTGCTGGGTGGCACGGCGTCGAAGGCGTTACACGAGATATACCCATCCTCCTCTCCGTCACGATATCGGGGGGGGCGCTCTTGAATAAATGCCATGTACTGTAACAATATAAGTACGCGATAGCTACATATCACTGTCATGACACCATCTTCTCCTCATCCAGTGGCCTGATGTTCTTTGTTCTGCCCCGCACAGTGCCAAGGCCGATTATCGGGCACATCTAATCTGATAAAATTTGACCCCCGAATCTCGACCCTCGACCCTCGACCCTCGCCTTTCCCTCTCGACCTGACTTTCCTCTCGCGTGACTTGGTCGACCCATTTGCTCGATCTCGACGACGAAAGCCACCCAGCCACCCAGACCCTCCACTCCAACGAATATCCCGGGCGTCCGAGGGCCCCTCCGTCCTTCACGCCGTCAGCAAATTGATTGTGGACAAACATCCAATGATCAGCTCCCAGCGGGCTCTCTCGGCTTAAGGGCGGACGGATTGTTGTCTGTCCCCGAGCCATGGCCTCCAGCGTCGCATCTCCCCCAGCGTCGGCGACAGCGAGCACCACTCAAGTCGACGTCAAGGTCGCAATAGCGCGACCGCTCTCGCTGTGTATGAAACCGGCCCAGACCCCGCCCGCCGCTTCCCCGCCGTCATCATCGACCTCGGCGCCAATGTCTCTCACAAGCAAAGAATGGGTCGTTCCTCCTCGCCCCAAGCCAGGCCGGAAGCCTGCAACAGACACACCTCCCACCAAACGCAAGGCGCAGAACCGTGCTGCCCAACGAGCCTTTCGCGAGAGGCGCGCGGCGCGGGTAGGTGAACTCGAAGAACAACTCAAGCAAATCGAAGATGAGCATGAACATGATCAAGACGTGCTGCGAACGACGGTGGATAAGCTTGAAAAAGAGCTCGAGCGCTATCGGACTGACCTGGCACATTGGGTTGATCGATGCAGGGGGCTCGAGAGTGAGCTGGCTGCTCTCAGATCGGCGTCTTCTCAATCACCACCAAGTTCATCCCACCAGCAAAAGGCCCTCAGTTCTACCGAAGACGCAACAAACGATACCTCAATTGGTTGCGGCAACTGCACCTTGGAGACCCGCTGTCAGTGTATAGATGACGCCTTCGCCGAAATGGGTGGCGGAGTAGTCGAGGCCCGTGATGCCGGTCATCGTGAGAAACGCCCGCTCTCTCCTTCACAGGGGGCTGGCGGAGAGAAGAGGGTGAAGATTGAACCCAAGGAGAGCTTGGAGATTGACTTCACCGCGGTGTACGCCTCAAACGCGCTCCCAGAACGTCCTCGCTTAGAGAATCATTCTCCTTCCACCGTCGTGGCGGACCCGTGCGGCTTTTGCTCTGACGGCACACCATGTATCTGCGCCGAGGTCGCCGCGGAGCAGGAACAAGCGCAACCCGCGGCAAGCAGCAGGTCGGTGGAAGCAACAGTGCCGATCAATCTGCCGCCCCGACAACTCGACCAATTTACACCACCTCCGTCTGAAGGCGATGTCTCTATGTCCGTGCCGCCCGTAGTCGCTCCCCCTTCAGGGTGTGGAGCTTCGGGGCCGGGAACATGTGCTCAGTGCCGCGCCGACCCAAACAGTACTCTTTTCTGCAAATCTCTCGCTGCTTCTCGTGCTCAATCGCAGCCCGCGAACACGTCTTCCTCAGGATGCTGCGGCGGCCAAACTCCCGGCGGATCATGCTGCCGGTCGATTACCGAGAACGATGCCGTGCCCCTTCCCAGAAGGAGCCGCACGACTCGCTCCCAAGCGCCGGCCGGACTGTCCCATCAAACCTTAGCCCAGCAAAGCTCCATAAACGTGCCAAAGGCAGGAGTCACACTCACCTGTGCAGACGCCTACACTACCCTCTCCCGACATCCAGCCTACGAGCGCGCCGCAGGCGACATTGGCGAGTGGATGCCCAAACTACATGCCTGCGAGCCTACCAACCCGGGCATTGCCGGGAGGCCAGCATTGGAGATTGATGCGGCGAACGTCATGGCTGTACTGAGGGACTTTGACCGAAGGTTTGGGAGGAGTCCTTGAGTCAAGTCGAGAGGAATGAGGTGGCAGACGAGAGATGGATTTTCATTCGTCATGAGAGTGTCACGGCGTTGACTCAAATCTTATGAGCGACCGCGACGAAATCATGGCTTAGAAAGGAATTATGATGGATCGATTGTGAATGAACCGGCAAAATCGCCTTGGTGGTCGCAAAGACTGCGGAAGATTTGTAGATATGACGGGAGGGTGGGCTTTCGTATACGGCGAGACGGGCATTTTTTGTTCTCCGTGTGACTGAAAAAAAAAAGAGAGAGACTGTACTGCGGCGCCGGAGGACTGGACTGTGTGCATATACTTCGACTACAAGTATCATAGGTTCCCTTTTTGTCCCCTTCTCCTACGAAGGCATGCGTATTCAATGTTCCTTACCAAATGCCAATGTCGGTGCCGGTGTTGATTGGGGGTGATGGTAATGGCGATGGTGCTTCCCTGGATGTGCGGACATCTGGGGACCCTATCTAGTCCTCTACAAAGGGGGTTTTCTGAATTGGCTGCCACTCCCCTTGGTAAGCGAGGTTCTCTCTGTCCTGCACGTGGCTCTCCGTCGCCCTCAATGCGTTCGATTCTACCGCTGTGCGTGGCAGCCTTGCGCGACGAGAACAGCTGTATAGAGCTCAGGCATACAGCACTCTCTATATCCTTCACGAAATCCTCTGGCTGTACCTTCTCCCATTCTTCCAGTAGATATTGGTGTACTTCCGTATTAGTCTTGAGAAACCACTTGCCTGTACGATACTTTCAAGGGCGCCAGACATTCTCAGCGGGATTCAGATCTAGTGAATGCGAAGGCCACGCCATTCGAATAACACTATAATATGATGCATTATCCTCCATAAGGATACTTCACATAAAGCCAATTTGACGTTCAGTATCGCGGAGATGTTGACCAAACTGAGGAAAAACACGTTCTTTATCCACTGGTGCTAAAACCTTTTGCCCATTCCTTCTCCGTCAGTATGAAAGGGCCCTTTTGTACTCCTGATATCGCTGCGTAGGCCATGGCTGATGAATGAGCAGCGAATTTGGAGCATTAAGCATGTATGGTGAAACATCTCTGCGGCCGTACGTGTAACGAAAGCCTTTTCTAAATGCGCCTGTTGTAAAGGACGCTGCATCTGTCCCGGGAACGCGCTTCCACATAGTAATATCCCAAGTTTCATGAGCCTTTGCCCATTGTAAACGGGCTTTTTAAACGCTCAGGAGAGAAAAAGGGGCATTTGCTGCGCAGCACGACGATACTGCTCCTTTTCGAATACTTTCGTCAAAGAGCGTCGACAGCCTTCAATGCCCTCAATTTGAGCGATTTCTTCGTACGGAAGACGGCAATGATAAGCGTCAATTGTTGCGCGTTACATTGGGCGGCGTCTCTTCCTTGTTCTTAGTATTGGAATTCACGCCCAGTTGGATGTTGCGGTGTACAGACCCCAGAGCGTGTACAAAGGCGAACCGTTGAATAAGCAATGCCAAGCTCTTTTACAATTCGTGACTGGTTCCATTGAGCTATAGTATATAGTGTGAGAATCTGAGTACGTTCTCGCTCTGTAAAGCGCTGACCTCGTGGGCGGCCTACATCTGCATAGGATTTTCGGCGGGGGGGAGAAAGGAAAAGGGGGCAGCCTGTTCAGGCAACCTCCCTTGTACATTGATGAAGATAAAACTCGTTTGAAATTCGGAAGAAAGCCCATGTCTCTTTTGTCCTAGAATGGAGCATCTAACGGGTCCACCCCGCCTAATTAGATTAAGCTTCGTTTATTTGTGTACATATCCCACGACCCGGTAATCATGTTTACGTGCAACCTATTCAGATTTCGAGCCATCACGGCGGTTTCAAGATTGGCCTTTGGCACTGCCTGCCTCCCTAGTGGTACTGCTTTCTGCGAAAAGGTTGGCTCTCGATGATCAATAACAGCCACTCTCTAATTTTGCAAGTGTCACGGACTTTAAAGTCTGGCCAGCAGCATTTCGGATAAATACCGCAGATATCCCTATGAAAGGGTTTCGAAGGAGGCAAGGCTGTAAAAGGTAGCGTCACACCCGACGTGGCCAGGATCGTGGGGCCCGTCTCTCTTTACCGGACTTTGCGGCAGGATTTGTATACCCATCACTATCGCCCTGGTCGTCTCACAATTCCCTAGCCAGATCAAAGCCATATTGACCATGGAGGAATCCCTCCACGCTTTCTCACTGAGTGTTTGTCCTTTCGCAATTCAGGCACCTACTTTTATTCTCCTCGGAATCAGTTGGATGTATCGTCTAGGACCTCGGGGCAAAGGACACAACAGAGTCCCCGATGGACTTCTTGACCCGATCACAGGATACCGCATCGCCTCTTGGCCATATATCAATAACATCATTGTTGGTATTGGCCAAGGTATTCTCGTCGTCGCTTACCTCTATCAGAAGCTCCGGACTACGCCAAGGGGTTTGCACAGTTCTACTGCCTTAACTACGAACGAAGGGACTGCCCTTCTAGCGTGAGCTGGCATACATTTCACCACGGTCTCAGCGTGGTGGTATCGAACAGGTACTTTATGCGTAATAAAAGTTTCAAGCAGGATTCTAGGTATCCTCAGGGACTCTGTAGGCAGCCGCAGAGCGTAGGCCAATGTATATATATGTATATGAAGGGATTTGAGGCTTCTTCGTCGTGATCCTCAAATTAATATCCCAAGCAATGTGATAAAGCTTAGCGAGGAATATATTTAAGTCGAGAAACATTTCGGCATTCTGATTCTACGCCAGCTAATGGACTGTCTCTGCATGTGAGCATAACAATAGCTCAAACACTTGAAATCCACAGGAAAGAGGAGATGGCCGAGTCCAAAATCAGCGAGAAAAGGTGTTTCACAACCAAGTCTGACTTCTGCACAATTCTGGAGTAGCAGAGGGTTTCTAGTAAGAGGGCGCTTGCGAAGGTCGTATCATCTAAAAACCGACCTACAAAAGCGTTCATGTTATTCCAGATTTTCCGCCATAAGAGCTATAAAAAGTATTGATCATGGTAGAATGGTCTGCAGGAATCTTGGCTAGGGGCTCGGATGGGATTGAGGCCTAGTTTTTTTTTTTTTTTTTTTCCTTCTAAACGTTTGCTGCTTAGAGTCTTAGCATTGTCATGGTCTAACGCGTGCTGTTGTCTGAAGGACAATAGGGCTTGAATGGATGGGATTGGCTCTGTCCTTTTGCAAGGATGGCTGCGGGATTGGTCCCCTCTATCTAGCTGCTTGAATATACTATAGACTCCTGGAAAAGAGGAAGAAAAGATGCTGAGCGGACTCTCCGCCAACACATGCCACAAACGTGTTTGATTCCTCTCCCTCTTCCCATGTCCTCATTCGTGTGTGCCTATGCATCATGTATTCATACGAGTTACGTGATTTACATAGGGAAGACAATTACTTCGCCGCAGCTTATTCTGTTCACGTCCAGTCGAATGTCTTAAGATATGCCCACTAATCTTGACAGCGACTTGCAAGTTTGTAGGATCTACGATATTGCGGTTATAGCACGTGTCGAAACAACGAATGGACACGGACTTTTCCCCTCTTTTTCCACTTTCCTTACCAGTAGATACGTCTCTCTCCTGTGAACCCCTTGCAAGAGCTAGACGGACTACCCTAACACCAATAGAGACTTCTTCGAACCCAAGATTTATGAATAGTTCTTCCTTTAGATCGCCTCTCAGTATGCCCATATCCCTCATTAATATCCTGGAAGGCTACATAGAATTTTCGTTTAACGCTATTCGAGCCCTGGACCGTACTATGACTCCCAGTCTTACCTGTTGCCCTAACAATAACACCCATTTCCTCTCATCACGTTCTCAGTCCCATAATGACCGCCCTCGCCCTGCACCACCACGCAGTCCCAATCTCTGTGCCCATCCTCTCACACCTGCACCCGCGCCATTTCGAGTCCTCCTCCTTTCACGCCCATGTACTCCCGCAGCCGAGCTCGGACTCGGGCTCGTAAGCATGTACTCCCACTTCACCTCCCCATTCACAAACAAACTATACTTCAACAAGCTCCTTTGCCCTTCGCCCCCCGCATCACCCGCCAGATTACGGATTTCAATGAGGCCGATTTTACTGTTTCCATCGGGAATGTACTGAATGGCGACGTCTTGGTTGTCAGTCTGGCGGAACGTCCGGAACGGGAGATAGAACATAGACAAGGGCCCCACCGAGAATTCGTGCGGGCCGGCAGCGGGCGTCGTTTCATAGACGACAGGCTTGGAGATCGATTCGACTGTGGGTGGGTTGGACGAGTCGATCGTATCCCCTACCTGGTCTTGGTCCTGATCTTGGGAGAGGATTGGCGGCGGATATCTTATGGCAGCGAATTCGTGGCGATCTCCGGAGAGGATAACTACTCTAACGCCAAGTTCGCGCTCTGCATCATGCATGGCCTGCAAGATTATGGAGCGTTCCCTGAGAAATCCCCCCCAGGTGTCGGATGTGCCAAATCGCCAGTTCTTCGTGAAGGGAACACTGGTGGCGATAATTTTCCAGTAGACATGTGGCGGCTCGGGTTCAGAGAGGTACGTAAGGAGGGAGTTAAGCTGTTGAACGCCTAGCATTGTATGTATTTCGGGGTCGGAGGGTGGATTAGAGGAGTCCAGAGCGGAGCTGTACAGAGGTTTTTCCGAGCTCGATGCTGATGACCGGGCCGATTGTGGTTCCGGGTCAGTCCGATATCGCCGCGTATCGAGCATAAAGAATGAGGCTGGACCGTTGGAGAATTGAAAGTATGTAGTATTTGTTTCCAACCCATTCGGAGAGCCTGGGGGGACTGGCGGATTCACAGAGACGTGATAATGGATAAAGGGATCGGAAGCGGCCGGAAACGGATCTGTATCGTTCCCCCCGGACCAGTCATTGGCAATTTCATGGTCGTCGAGCGTGTGGATCCAGGGTAGAGTATCAAGGCCGGGTAATGACCACGACGGAGAAGCGTAGACACGTCGATATTCCGAACGATAATGTGCCAGAGAGGATGATAGACGGAGTGGCACGTCAACGTAGATGAAGTCCCCCAGGAAAAGCATGAATGAGGCCGGCGAAGATAAGGAGCCGACGAGTTTAGACAAGTATTCAAAGCCATGAATCGCCAGAGAATGAGCTGTTGCTCTGTAGGGAAAATTGGCCTTCATGCAAGACGAAGTGAGAAACGTCAAGCTATTGGCGGCCTCCGAGTATGGCGATGGAGCCGTAACGAAGGTGCCAGATTTGTCGTTAGACAAGGAGTAGATGTACTTCTTCGAGGGTTGGAGACCGTCAAAGGTGAGGGCGTGAGTATAATCCGTATCCGGGCCCAGGTAGTAGATCGTGTCTGTCGTTGTCCAGCTGGTCTTGTCGGCCGGTGACAGGTATACATACATTGGAAGTTGGGCCGGATTCGGTTCTCTAATCAAGACCTTTGCAGACGTCGAATCGACATAGCCGACGCGAGTGAAACTCAAGTCCTTGGCCGGATGGAGAAGAGGCCCTCGAAAGATCAAATCAAGCGTGAAAAATGCTAACAAGACGTTCACTCCAATAGTTGCGTAGCTCCATCCTGTCTCGCGCCAATTTGGTATTCCAAAGAGTAAGATCTTGAACAATGACTTCTCCTCCCCGTACAAGGCGGGTTGCTCATGGTCTTCATTGATCCGGTCTTGTTCCTTCGATTGCTCGTGGCCATCGGGATGTGAGATCGGCTTGGGCGGTGTTTCATGCGGTGTAGGTCTTGTAGAGCCGAAAGCTTCAGACTGGCTAAAAACGAAGGCGAGGTAGATAGCCACTGTGGACAGAATGATGGGAGGGAAAAGGTGACCAGGAATCTGCGGAGAGGGTCAGTATGGCTTCGTCTGTTGTGTAGCTGATGGTTCGAGGACTCATACCCATCTCAAAAAGATGAAGGCAGCGAGCCTGGCTATTGATGAGCTTGTCCCAGCTAGGATCTCTGCCGGTGAAGGCATGTTGATGCTTGAAGGAGCTGCACTCACTGCCTAAGCAGCGAGTAGTGGGACATGCATCACATCGTTGCCAAAAAGTTGGCTGTAGCAGAGGCACAGGCAAAGTGCGGATGCATGTCCAGCTCGTTCCCCCCTCCCAAATGACGCAAGCAGAGCGCTGATTTTGGTGAATGTGGTCTGACGTCGAGCCTCCGCCAAGAAAAAGGCTGTCTGACAAAAAGGCGGTAGGGCAGGCGCGCATAGGGGGTATCAGCCTTATTGCAGCGCTTGGGTTCGATATGAAGGCAGATGCTCGAATGGGATGATTCCCCGTCATGAGTGAGATACAACGATGTCATGTTGAGGTGAAGTTAATACCCATCAAAGTATCCAGTCACGGTTTCACCAAAATGCCGGGACGGATCTCGCTGTTACCAGTGCAATCATGCATTCTCCGTTCTTGGCCTTCACAAACATGCCTCATTGTGATGGTATGCGGTCGGAAATCTATTCTGTTTCCTTTCTTGAGCATTCTTGTCACCGATTCACAGAAATCCCAGCCAACCCCCTCCCTAGTTGTACCACCAAGGCCGCATCCCGCACCTTTTTCATCCCCATACACAGGCCCATACAATAAGCCCACATCCAACAATTCTCGCCTTCTTGAGGCAGTGCATCCCAGTATTCCCACCCCATCACCCCTCCAAATTCTGGATACCTCTCCACCAGCATGCTCAACACCGCCGCCGACAACTCCAGTGGCACGTACCCACTCCCGCCGTGTTTCGGGTTCGTCAGCATTCCCGCCACAACTTTCTCCGCGGACCACCCATTGCGCATGATCTCATCATAGGCAGCCGTATTATGCAATCCTCCCCATCCGTTGTAAAATTGCGTGTTATACCACGCAATACTTGACCCGCGCATGGCTTCGAGCATGCGGTAATCGAATCCAGACAAGTGCGGCCGCCCAGCCATAAGAGCCGTAGCCACAGGGGCGAGTGTGATGATGAACTGACGTCCAAAATCTGCTCTTAGACGATCGATCAGATGCACAATCCCAGGCAGGGACATTTCCTCTTCGACATCCAGATCTAGTCCGTCGAGGTTATACCGCCTTATCATATTGCGTAATGGAATATAATAACTTTCAAATCGTGCTCTGGGGACATCGGTCCTTGATTCAGAGTAGTCGAGCCTCGCAAAGGAACCCCGGGCAGCGCCGCCCAACATGCCCAAGACCTTGATCCCGGAATCCTGGAGCACGAGGACTTCGTCCCATAGCTGAGTGTATTTTTCGTGATCGGGAGGATCATCATTGAGTGTCAAATGCTGAGGGTCCCAATTGACATGTATGGCTGCTAATATAACGTGTGTGATCCCAGAGGGGTTGGTGAGGAGGGGAAGAAGAGAGACATATTGGTCACCGCGATGGTAGGTTTGGAAGTAACATATGATTCGAGGCTTCCATGAGGTGATGGGGACTGTCGGAAGAAGCGGAGGCATAGCTCTCTCTGAGCTCTCCCTCTCTCAATCAAATAGAGAATATTGTGAGGCAAGTTGCAGCTTTTGTCCGACATGGAGTGAGGCGAAATAACGAGGCTGAGTCAAAACTCCAACCTCAATGCCAAGACTTTTTGGTATTACCTCGTACCCGGTACATATATCTGAGTGGCGAGGCTGAGAATCTCGCAAGGCTGAAGAACATGATAATTAAAAATGACCCACGAACAAACACTAGGTGCGGTACAAATAAATCGCCTTTATCATATCCAAACCCGCAAATACTGTCACCCAATTCCCCCTAGCTGGATTCCTCTGGTGGCTGACTGAGAAATAGGAACAAGCATTATGGTCTCAATGGTCAATATCTCGACCCCGACATTCTCCATTCCGACAACGATTTCACGCCACATAATCCAGGTCTTGACAGGGCAAACTAACATCGGTTAGTAGGCATCGACACCTGGGTTCGATCCCCAATATAGGCGCCATATAATCCGGGTCCGGACAGGGCAAACTAACACCGGTTAGCAGGCGTCCCGGACCTCGATTCGAACCCGAATCCGATCAACAACAATCCGGGAAAAACCAAACCCATCACACAAGTTGTGGGTTGAGTTTCGCTTGGCCCAACCAGACAAACAACAGTTTAATCTGCTTCGGGAAACCCACGTTTTTGCCGCCAAGCAAGAGAGACGCAAAGACTTTGTTGCAGCTGTTCTATCAAAAGCTAACACTTTTCTATGAAGACCTACGCTACTTTCACATCCTTATCGCCTTTTTCTCACTGAGCGTCTTATCGTATATTGAGTAGCGGCAGTGGTGCTCTGAAGCTGTCCATTGCATTCCCCAGCGGAAGATCAGAAGCCACGGCTCCCTGTCCCATTGCTTGTCTTGTTCTCAGTGGTGCTGGGCCTGTTGTCAATTTGAATGTTCGCAGACCAGTGAATGCTGACGACCCAGCATCGGCGATCACTGCACCTTTAGCTTGAGCTTTCATGATGATATCATTCTGCTGTTGCATCTGCTTCAAGATTTTTTCGTCCATGACTTGTGGGACTCCCTGGTGAGTGGCTGGCATAGTAGCCGTCTCGGAGCCTTGCGACATCGGCTGTTGAGCCAGCGGACTTCTGGATGTGGACTCAACCTCGGTCACAGTCCTGCTCTGAGCTGGAGTGCCAGAAAGTTGACGGCGCATGAGCCTTGGCTGCGGAGGTATAACGGGCGCTTCGATGGCCCCGTTAGAAGTATCCATGGGCCAACGGTGACTCAAGCTATTCTCGGAACCGCTCCTGCTCCGAGATTGAGATCGACCTCGACTTGGAAAACTTGGCAGCAACGGTCCAGGAGAGGGCCTTCCTATGAATGATGCATGGCTTTGGGCGCTGGGTGCGGGATTGTGTGGGAGTCCAGTCACGCTGGATATCGACCCGTTCGTTGGCCGCCTCAGAAGCCGCGGCATATTATCTCCTCGTGAATTTTCTCGACTTCTTGATCCAGGTCTCGCAGACATCGACGGAGGAGGGGGTCGACGACTAGCGTACGGTGAATGTGGATCTTCGCTTTGATGCTCCGCGGGCCCGGGAGACCCTTCGTCCATTTCCTTTAGCGACGGCACCGATGGTAACTTTTTACCGGTAGTGCTATATGCCGCCATGATGTTCGCAAAACTCAGGTCTGAAGGTAACTGACTCAACCGCTTGATAGACTGCATGTTCGAGTCCATGAAGGTAGAGATTGACTGAAGTGCGTTTCTTGACTCATGCACCTCGTAAGACGATGGGGCATCAACACCAAGGGCTGCCCTGGCAGTATGCGAATCGGCGAGGCGAAGCGGACGAGTGGCATCCGTGTTGGAGCTTCGAAGGGTTTCTCCACCAGGATATGGGTAGCCAACGTCAATCGCTTTCTTCGCCTGCGAGACAACCTGGGCAAATACAATATCCTGATCCGCGTATCGCGTTGAGCGGAATGGTTTTGCCGCATTACTAGAGCCACTAAATGCTGAAGTCTGGGCCAGAATGAAAAAAGAACCATCTTGTATCTTCCTCTTCAGCACATTCCATCGCGTCCTGGCTGGGTTCTTCTCCAATTCGGGGCGATAGATGGATTCTCTGGTGAGTCTCGAGTAGAAGGTGTCGAGGCGCTCAGCAATACGCTCAAGAACTGACAGCAGGTATGCACTAAGACTGACTAGTCTGTGCTTCTCTGTACCCGAATCGATACACTCGATGACATCGAAGGCGTCCATACCCATGCAGGCATCCTCGCGGATCTCTTCCAGAAACTGGACGTCCAACTCGGTCACAGCACGGGCGTAGCGGAGGATTCCGTTTTCTTGAAACTGAGCTTGTTGGTTGTTACAAACGAATGATCCGATCTGCGCGATTTCGTTTGCGGCGGTAGCGGCGGCGGCGGACGCCTGCGCCCTTGTGATGACGCCAATGACATCTGGCACGCGAGTATCTGGTGTACCAGAATTGACAAGTGCGAATGTGAGCTTGAGATGCAGCTCCTGAAGCTTTGCGCCAAACAAGGTGGAAAATCCATTCTGCATCAGCCTCGACTGGAATTGATAGAACTTTCTCACACCACCCATGTTGAAGAGGTCCCCTTGAAACCAAGTTCTGGCATCTTGCTGAATGTAATCCACTTCGAAATGTAAGGTGGTGAGCGCTTCCACACAGCTGCGCAGATATTGATACCAGAGATCGTAAATGCCACTGATCTCAACAGATCGGAAATCCGGTTTTGCTGCAAGGTGACCGACGAAATATTTTGACAGGAGACTCATAACCTCTGGATTTGTGGTGTGAGCCACGTCATCAAAGGTCTTGGAGGCATCCAGTCCGGCACTTGCCTGAGCAATCAAGGTCCCCCCAGGGTGGATGGGGAGGAAATCTGTGATATCGTAAACACCTCCGTGTACTCCAATGTACATCCTAGACCCTTTGCGATGGCCAGTGTTCAGTGCCAGCTTCGATGGAGGGATCCTGGGAGTGGCATAGCTGATTGGACGTGGTGTCATAAAAATGTCCAACATGAAGCGTCGTTCTGCAAATGCTTTGGCCAGTAAGCCGTCCGCCGACTCCTTTGTTGATGCCCAGTTTTGGTAGATGGCCTGCCGAATTCCTGACATGATTGTTTCATACATCGACACGGAGCCACAGATATACAGGTGTCCTCCGAGTCCTCCTTGACTCTTTGAGATGACGAGGTCACAGACTGTTCGCCCCTGTTCGATGATTGCAGCGTCGAGATACCGGGGATTCATTTGCTTCTCGACGAGATCGCGAGACACGGGATCATAGACGAGACCATTTCTGTCCCTGGAGAATGCAGTATGAAGTTCAATCTGGCCGTTTCGTACGTATTCTCGAAGCTCGTGTTCGTAGGACAATCGATCACGCGACTGTACCCCAAGGAAAAGGATGTTCCTTCCGACACTAGTTTGTGCTCTTGCTTGCCAGAATCCTCTGAAAGGTGCGATACCAGATCCGCCTGCAAACATTGCAATAGGACCAGTCATGGTGACTGGAAGTTGAAAATTGATAGGTCGAGAAACCCCAATGAGATACTCTTCGTCGTCAAGCATTTCTCCTGAACGAGAAGGATCTGGGTTAAGGCATCCGCTGCTCACCCCATGTCGCCGACCGTAGGGAGCGGTGGGCTGCAGTACCGGGGCTAGCTGGGACTCAGAGCGAGCGACAGTCAAGTCAACAGTGCTCGGAAGCAATTCATGCGAGTAGTTGGAGATGCTGTAAGTTCGCGGAACCTCAACAGGGATCAATTTCGGAAGCCATGAAAGATCGGACAGGTCGAATGCTCGGTCCCAAATCGTCGGAGAAACTTCTGCGACTGCAAGTTGAAGCAGGTCTCCTATGCTGCCCTCCACTGGCCACATCTCTGACCCTAAAGTTTTTATCACGGTTGATGACGAGGCACGGAGAGCCATATGGAAAGCCATGACCATGTCTTTTGTGAGAGGTGCCAAGTGTCCTCGTCGGAGAATGTCTTGCACAGTCAAAAAGGGCTCACTGTCAGTTCGATTGACTGATTTCAGATGGCGGGCAAAACGATTCCAATCTGGAGTATGTGAAAGTGGGACTGGTTTGTGAAGGAACTCATCCAGTCCTAGAGCGGCAGTGATCTTCCCAACTTCTGTCCAGCTGTTGAGTGGCATAATGGCAAGTCGGTCTCCGGGTTGGAATGTGATACCAGTGCCTTCGAGACCGAAGGTCACCATGGCCGTGGACCGCTGAGGATCCGTATCAACGAAGGATCGGGACAGAATTCTTGCTTTGAATCTGCATTCTTCGAATGATCCTCGGAGCTCGTGCGGTTGCAAGGTGACTTTGCCTCGGAAAGGCTCTAAACGTTCTCTCATGGACTCGGAGAGTGTTTTATGCACCTCTTCCCAAGGCCTTCCAATACTGTCGGACGACCCGGCATTCCCGTTTGTCTCACTTCGACCAGTTTTTGCGACGACTTCCAAGAAGCCATAGACTTTATCTGCATCACAAGTGGTTAGCAAGAGGTTGCGGCTAGGAGAGTGGTGACGGACAGCGGTGCGTTCCAAACCAGCCGCGCTCCGAGAGATACGCCTCGAGTATGCCCTCCATGACGCCCATCAGACGTGAATCGCCGGATTCTTTCACGAAGGCAGGAACCTGATAATGATACTCGATAGCAGCAATGAACGCTCGAATATTCATTGGCAGCCAGGCTCTAAGATGGAGAGCTTCTTTTCCAAGGAAGCTGTCGTATTTTGTTCTTCCAATGAATGCATCCATCAATAAGAATACGGGCAATGCAAGCCCAGACAATGCAGGAACTCGTTTGGAAAGGGGAGCGCTGAATTTTGCATATCTCTGGCCCCACTAGAAAGCAGTCAGCATTGGCTCTGTTGGCTCGAAAAGGCTGAATTACCTCGACTGGATTTGCAAAATTCTCGCCTGAGTTTGGATTGACACTGATCTTTTGAAAGACGTGGACGAATCTGT